GACGGGGCGCGGGCGGGAGTGGGGACGGGGCGCGGGCGGGAGTGGGGACGGGGCGCGGGCGGGAGTGGGGACGGGGCGCGGGCGGGAGTGGGGACAGGGCGTGGGCAGGAGTGCCAGGCTGAATGGGGACTCCTGGACAGTGAGGCTCCTGACTGAGGTGTCGCTCTGTGTAAACAGTAATCAGCACAGTGCCGAGCCCCAGAGCATGAAGATAATGCACATCCCCACTTTCCCACTTCTCCATCTCTCAAACCAGCCACCCACGTGGCGTTTTCTCTCTCTCAGTCCCTGACCACCCAGAGTTAGGTCTTTACAAAACAACTGCTTGCACAGCCCTCTTCTGTCCACCAGCCCCCAGGGCTGGTACCTCACAAGCTAGCACTCTGTCCTTCTAATCAACTGCCAGGTAGGCAGACGTCAGGCCCTGCTGGCTGTCGTTGCCCCCAGTGGTTTCAGTAATTCGCTGGAATGACTCACAGAACTCACGGAGACTTTGTATACTTACAGTTACCCATTTATTATAACCAGAAAGGGTGCAGCTGAGAGACGCATCAGGCGAGGTCTGGGAGCACTCATGGCAGGAGACTCCATTGCCCCAGGACAAGCCAGGCTCTCTTGCCACTCCGGGAAGCCCAAAACCAAAAGCTTCAAGGTCCAGGGTTCCCTAGTCACTGGGTCCTCAATGAATATGCGTGATGGGGCCTTAATGCATAGTTCTGATCGATCCAGTCAGTGGGTATAGGTGACTGCATCATGCCCCCTCCCTTCCTGAGGTTGGTTTGCCAGGTGTGGGGCCTGGGAAGCCCCTACTTGCCTGGCCATTTTGGCAAACGAGGGCATCTTGATTGCTCTGGTTATTTTCAGAAACTGAGACAAAAAGACCAAATCTGGATCTTTATCCCACAGTCTCTGAGTGCAGCAGGATGCCCAAGTAAGGGGGCGTTTCTAAGTGTGAGTGCTGGCTTTCGAAACCGAGCAGCTTACTTTTAGCTCTTTTTCTCGTGAATGTTCCATGAAGGATCGAGGTATATTAATAGAAACATTTGGAGGCAGACTTTCTACAGATGTTATGGTTTCTCTCTCTCTCTAATTATCGAGCCCATTCTATTAGATCAGTATTTTTGTGCTTAAATAAATAAACAAGTCCTTTTCCTCTCTAAGCACAACCTTCCTTCCAGTCTTTGAAAGCTATGCTGCTCATGTGACCTGTCCAGACCATTTTGGGTCCAACCAGTTTGATGCCTCCTGCACTGGTTTTACTGAGGCCGTTCTCTTGATTTTGCATCCTGTGGTTGGTCATTCTCAGCCTTCGTGGCTGATGTGTGTGGGTCAAGAGAGCGGGACTTGTGTTTTGTAAAGAAAGGATGTGAACCTGTGGTGTGGTCTCCGCGTGCAGCACTCTGGCCAGTGGTCATGCTGGCTCATCCTCGTGTGGCCTGGACGCGTCTCCTCACCTCCTGTCTGTACCTGTGTCCAAGCTGTGGAGTAGGGGTCCCACTGCCACCTGGGAACCCTCACAGCGTGTTGTGAAGGTGAGGGATAGGAGCCGAGCGCCTCGTGCACCACCCGGGAGTGCTCTGCCCAAGCTCTGAGGAGAGAGCCGAGCGCCCTGTGCGCTGCCTGGGAACTCTCTGCCCGAGCTCTGAGGAGAGAGCCGAGCGCCCTCTGCGCTGCCTGGGAACTCTCTGCCCGAGCTCTGAAGAGGGACTCTCTGTCCATAGACATTGTCGGGCAGCTTGGCCGAGATGCCCGGCTGGAACTAGTGAGGGGGAGATGCAGACAGATGCTTTCCTGTCTCTACCTGGAGATGATGTTAAAAAAGCAGCCACTGCTCAGAATTTTGAGTTTGAGAAAGCTCTGCGTCCGAGCCTGGTGGGAGGCGTGCGCTGAGCGTTCCCCATGCTGCTCTGCTCCCCAGAGTTCACACATGGCGATGGTCGACGCTCTGATGATGGCCTACACCGTGGAGATGATCAGCATTGAGAAAGTGGTGGCCAGCGTCAAGCGCTTCTCGACGTTCAGTGCCTCGAAAGAGCTTCCGTATGACCTGGAGGACGCCATGGTGTTCTGGATCAACAAGGTGCGTGTCGGAGCCCTCCGCGTGCCCTGGGGCCGGTGTGGGCGGGCTGGCCTCTCGTTCTGCGGTGCTGGCCCTTCTCCTTGACCACAGCCGCTTCTCGGCTGTCACGCAGGTAAGGTTGCTGTAAGCCGCCCCTTGGCGGCTCCTGGGTCCTGTCTGCAGCAGTGCAGGGGCTGGAGGTAAGGTAGGCGTGCCCAGAGGACGGGCATGAGTGGGTGCGAGGAGGTCCTGTGGGAAACGCAGTGCGTGTGGATGGTTTAAAGCAACACATCGTCTCTATTTTGATTTTAAAATAACCAGAAGCACTGCTCTGCAGAAAGGGAGCTGTCAGGTTTGGAAGGCATTATAATAAAGAGAAAAGTGAAATCTTTGTAAATGCTGTTTACTCTTTTCACATTTAGAAGTTTACAGTGTCATCTCTTACGCAATGTATGTAAAACCTGAACACAAACCCATTGTGGGCGTCCATTCCGGCCCAGGTAGACCCCATGTGACAGAGCAGACGTTTCTAGCCTCGCAGGGTTTCCAAGGCTGTGATGTTTATAGGAGCAGACTGCCACACCTTTCTCCCATAGAGCAGCTGGTGGGTTTGAACCACTGGCCTTTTGGTGAGCAGCTGAGCGCTTAACCACTGCACTACCAGGACTCCTTGTTTATGTAAAGAATGTTTATTTTTAGTAGCGTGTGAGTATTTATGGGCTTACTTAACCAAAGCCTTTGGTAACTAAGCCTCCTTATTTGCAAAAAGCGTTCCGCTGGGGGCATTAATACAGCAACAAAATGGCTTGTAGAAACTCCACATCCAGTTTTGTTAGTGTGCTTGAGCAGGGGTCTCGTGAAAGACTCTGTGGTCTGCTGTACCGTTTGCACACGTAGTCTTTGGGCGCTTAGGGCTTTGGAGGGGAAGGAAGAAGCGCTGGCCGTGGATTAGTCTGCGAAAGTGGCCGGCCAGCCCGAGGGCCGCCTGTGAGGGCTGCCTGTGACGTGCCGCTTTCACTGCCACGGCAGGCAGCCTTCATTTCAGGAATTGGGGGAGGTGGTGCGGCGATTCTTGGAGACAGTGGCCCTGGTCTTTCATTGGTTTCCTACCCAGATGGAGGTTTAGGGAGCCAGGTTGGGTGGGGAGAGCACTGTAGATCCTGTGGGTCAACAGTGAGGCGTGGGCGCTAGAAAGCCTCTTGCTCCTGAAACTTCAGGGCTTTCACCTGGACTCTGAATTAGAGTCAGCTGCTGTTGAGTCGGTTGCGACTCATGTTGTCCCCGTGTGTGTCAGAAAGAGCTGTGTTCATAGGATTTTCAGTGTCTTTGACCTTTTGGAAGTAGATTGTCAGCACTTTCTTCCAAGGAGCCTCTGGGTGGACTTGAACTGGCAGCCTTTCGGTCAGCAGCTGAGGGTGTTACCCGTTGGCACCACTACAGGCGGCCGCTTCTCCACCACCCTTGGCGCACACTTCCGCCTCCTCGGAGATGGGGATGCTCCTCTGGTGGTGTGCACCATCTTAGTCACTCCCCGGCTCTTGAGCAGTATGTGCGTGCGCACAGCACCTCGAGAGAATTTGCTCCCTGTCTGTATGGGGGACTGGACCTTGGTGCAGTGTTTCTGTAACCCTGGCATGAGTTTCTGGAGTCAAAAATTAAAATTTCACGTTCTCTATTGATCAGCTTTTATTAATTATATTTTATTAATCATAGGAAGTTCAGAAACTGAGCAGAAAGTTAACATGGAAATTACCAATAACCTTAAATTCATAAACATGACTAACATTTTGCTATAGATCTTTTTAGCTTTCATTTCTTTGTATGAAATATGTAGACTTTAAAATATATTTGAGAGTTTACTGTGTGTTTTATTACTTTAAGCTTATTTTTGCATTAAATAAGATACAGTGAACACCCTTCCAAATGGATCAGGTATTCAACATCAGCAATTTTAATAACTGCCGGGTAGTCCGTTGTCTGTAATTCTCATGTTGCTGGAAAATTGAGTTTTCGCTCTAAACAGTAGTCTTCATATGATGTCGTGATTATTTTCCTCAGTGCAGTCCTGGTGGGATAAAGGTTATGTTCATTTTCAAAGGCTTTGATGTATTCTGTCAAATTTATGATCAGAAAGGTCATCCCATTTTCTCAGGCTGTTGGTCTGTGCAGTGTCCTCTTCCCACGTCTTCCCATATATTGGATATTATTAAAAATATCTGCCAATTTGAAAGGTGAAAAAAGCATTTTTACTTTTGTTTCTTTATTTGCAAATAAAGTGACTTTCAGCAAATAGAATATGTGTTTGTCCGTGCACCTTTCTTCCGTGGTGAATTGCCGCCTCATTGTCTTTGCCTTATTTCTTTGGGGAAGGGGGTTTATTCTTTTTTCCCAGCTGACCAGATTTCTTACATGGTAAGGGTGTCATGCATTTGCCATGTATTCAGAAGTGATGTTGCCACGTTGTTACTGCCGTCTGTTTTGCTTAGGGCCTGGTTGCTACGTGGAAGATGAGCTTCATGTACTCCAGAGTCATCACTCTCATGGTTTACATTTAGTCTGTGTTCACGTCCGCGTTTAAAGACTCTTGACTTGTCGCCAATGGACAGAATCTGTTGACTTACTGTCACAACAAGTGGTGAGCACAGTGACCTTCCACTTCCTGTCCCATCACTCTTCTGTGGTCAGACGGACAGTTTTGGTCAAATCCATAGGCAGACTTGACATCACTGTGACTGCACGTATTTTTCACAGCTTGCGTTTCGTTTCTCGTACCACGCTGCGTTTTTCTGTTGTTCATTCTTTTGGCAGTCCACGGTATAGTCAGTATTCTTCGCCAACACCATAGTTCACAGGTGTCAGTTCTTCTTCAGTTTTCCTTATTCATTGCCTAGCTTCACATGCATATGAGGTGATTGAAAACACCATGGCTTGGGTCCGGCACACCTTAGTCCTCAAGGTGACATCTTTGCTTTCAACGCTTTAAAGAGGTCTTTTGCAGCACATTTGGCCAATGCAGTGTGTCGTTTGATTTCTTGACTGCTGCTTCCATGGATGTTGATTGTGGATCCAAGTAAAATGAAATCCTTGACAACTTCAATCCAGTCTCCATTTATCAAGATGTTGCTTATTGGTCCAGTTGTTAGGATTTTTGTATTCTTTTATGTTAAGGTGTAATCCATACTGAAGGCTGTGGTCTTTGATCTTTGAACTTCAGTCTTCGTTTATCATGATGTTGCTTATTGGTCCAGTTGTTAGGATTTTTGTATTCTTTTATGTTAAGGTGTAATCCATACTGAAGGCTGTGGTCTTTGATCTTCATCAGTAAGTGCTTCAAGTTCTCTTCACTTTCAGAGAGCAAGGTTGTGTCATCTGCATATCACAGGTTGTTAATGAGTCTTCCTTGAGTCCTGATGCCCCGTTCTTACAGTCCAGCTTCTGGGATCATTTGCTCAGCATATAGATTGAATAAGTATGGTGAAAGGGTACAACCCTGATGCACACCTTTCCTGACTTTAAAACAGGCCGTAACCCCTTGTTCTGTTTGAACGACTGCCTCTTGATCTATGCACAGGTTCCACATGAGCACAAGTAAGTGTTCTGGAATTCCCATTCTTTGCAATGTTGTCCATAATTTGTTATGATCCACACAGTCGAATGCTTTTGCACGGTCAGTAAAAACACAGGTAAACATCTTTCTGGTATTCTCTGCTTTCAGCCGGGATCCATCTGACATCAGCAGTGATACCCATACCCCTTCTTCCACGTCCTCTTCTGAATCCAGCTGGAATTTCTGGCAGTTCCGTGTCTATATACTGCTACAGCTGCTTTTGCATATTGACTAGAAGTAGTGAAAGCGGACATTTTTGTGTTGTACCCAATCTTAAGGAAAAAACATTCATTCCTTCGCTAAATAGGTGTTTTATTCTCTTAAATGCTGTTGTATTTTAAAAGTATTTTAGTTGTAATTTTTTTCATAGATGCCCTTTTTTAGGTTAAGGAATTTTCTTTCAATTCTTAGTTTGGTAAGGCAGGTTTTTTTTTTTTTTTAAATGAATAAATGTTGACTTTTGTTCAGTGCTTTTTTCTCTATTTATTGAGATGATTATATGATTTTTCTTCCTTAATCTGTTGATAGGATTTACGTTAATTGATTTTCACATGTTGGATCAGGCTTTCATTCTTAGGATAAATACCTCTTGGTTGTGGTTATTACTCGTTTTATGTATTGCTGGGTTCCATTAGCTAATATTTTGTTGATGGTTTTTATGTTGATGTTCTTGAGGGATATTGGTCTGTAGTTTTCTTTTCTTATAATGTATTTTTCTTATGTTGGTTTTAGGGTAATGACAGCCTTAAAAATGAGTTGGGAAGTACCCCTCTCCTCTATTTTGTGAAAGAGTTTGTGTACGATCAGTATTATGTCTTTCTCAAGTGTTTGATGCAATTCACTGGTCAAGCCACCTGGGCCTTGAGCTTCCTAGTGGGAAGGTTTAATTGTGAATTTAATTTCTTTAGTGCACATGTAAGGCATTTAGATTTTCTACTTAATTTTCTGTCGGTTTTAGTAATCTGTGACTTGCAAGGAATTTGTCGATTGTATTTAAGTTGTTGAATTAATTGGCATAAAATTCATTATGTATCTTTATTATTCTTTTAATTTATGTGGGAACTGTAGTACTGTCTCCTCTTTTGTTGCCTGATAATTGATGATTTCTGCCTGATCTGTTTTCCCCCTTGTTTAGCCTAGTTTATCAATTATATTAATCTTTAAACAATCTGCTTTTGGTTTTTGTTCACTTTTCTCTCTTATTTTTAAATTTCTGCTCTTACCTTTAGTATTTTGTTTCTATTTATTTTGGATTTAATTTGCTCTTCTATTCTAATTTCTTAAGATGGAAGATTAGTTGATTTAAACCTCTTCATTTTCTGTGTAAGCATGTAAAGCTATTCATTCCCTTCTAAGCACTGCTTTAGCTGCACCTTAGAAGTTTTTGTGTGCTGTGTCTTTTTCATCATTCTCTTTAAAATACTTTTGCGTTTACTTGTGGATTCTTGTTTGAGCAATAGGTTAATTTCCAAATGTTTTGGGACCTCTTCGGGGGCCCTGGGGCATTTGTATGCTTCTCCCTGGAATCTCCTCCCCTAGACACTCAGGCCTTACTCTGCTCCACTCTGCCAGCTCCTGCCTCTGTGGCCTTGGTCTTTTTTCTCATGTGCTGCAATCCCCTTGTCCTTGTACACTTCTAGATTTTTTCTTTTCTTTTCTGTGTGGTTTTGAAGGGATCAGAGATAAAGACAAGGGCTTAATTTGCCTTGTTTTGTCTCCTGTCTTCTTTCCTTTCTTTTTATTTTATTTTTGGTGAAAATATGCACAGCAAAACCTGCTCCCATTCCACAGTTTCTAGACATAATGATCAGTGACATTGGTTCCATTCTTCACACATGTACACATTCTCATCATTTCTGTTCTAGTTGTTTTATTTACCTTTACTTAATTCCCTGTCCCCCAACCTTCTCTCATCTGTGCTTTAAAATAGCTGTGGACCCTTTGGTCTATATAGAGAATTTTTTTCTGCAATAATCAGGGTTGACAGTATTTACTCTTTGGGCTAAACTGTTACTCAGTTTAGAGATGGTGACGTCAGGGGGTGTTTTCAGTTCAAGGTTTGAAGAGCAACTCGGGCCCATAGTTTTGGGGACTTCTGCAGCCTCAGTAGGTCGGTCCAGTAAGTCTGGGATTCATTAAGAATTTGAAGTTCTGTTCTACATTTTTTTCCCTTTCTCTCAGGATTCATTTATTGTGTTCCTGATCTGAACATTCAGAAGTGGTAGCTGAGCACCACCTAACTCTTCTGGTTTCAAGGTGGAGGAGGAAGTGGTTCATGGAGACAGTCCTGTAGTGCAGTTCCTTCTCTGATTCTCGGGTTTCCTACTTTCTCTTTTGTTCCAGATGAATAAAGACCAGTAGGTGTATCTCAGATAACTGCTCCTAAGCTTGTAAGACCCCAGGTCCTACTCGCCATACTGAGAGAGGCAGAACATCAACTTCCAGAACTGTATCATGCCAGCTGACTGCACTGCCCCAAGAGGCCATGGCCTAAGCCCCTGTCTTAGTCATCTAGTGCTGCCATAACAGAAGTACCACAAGTGGATGATTTTAACAAAGAGATAAGTATTCTCTCACAGTCTAGGAGGCTAGAAGTCTGAATTCAGGGCGGCAGCTCCAGGGAAAGGCTTTCTCTGTCTGCCGGCTCTGGAGGAACGACCTTGTCATCCATCTTCCCTGGTCAAGGAGCTTCTCAGGGCAGGCACCCCGGGTCCAAAGGATGCACTGTTCTCCTGGCTCTTGTTTCTTGGTGGTATGAGGTCCCCCTGTCTCTGCTCCTTCTGTCTTTTATATCTCAAAAGAGTTTGATTTCAGACACAACCAAATCTTATACGTTGAGTCCTGCCTCATTAACATAACTGTCGCTAATCCCACCTCATTAACATCATAGAGGTAGGATTTACAACACATAGGAAAATCACATCAGGTGACAAAATGGGTGACAGTCACACAGTACTGGGAATCAGTCACATAGTACCGGGAATCGTGGACTAGCCAAGTTGACACATTTTTTGGGGGAACACAATTCAATGCATAATAGCCCCCAAACCAAGAGAATTGATCTCATAAGGGGATTGGTTGTCTAATTACTGTGAACTGATGTCATAAGGGATTGGTTGTGTCTAATTACTGTGAGCATCTGTAGCTCCCTCCCCTTTTTTTGGTGGTGGTTACTGTTGCAAAACCCTACACAGCCCCGCATTTGCGGATTCCTTCCCCTCCCTGTGTACAGCTCGTCGGCACCCGTTTCACTGCTTATGCTGTGCAGACTTCACCCGTATTCAGCGCCACCTTTCCCATTTCTGTCAAGAGAAACGTCTGCTACCTAGGGAGTATTTCTCCCCCACCCCCAGCCACTAGCGGATGTTAGTGTCTGTGCATTTACCTATTCGCGTCGTTTCCTAATAGGAAGAACATTACAATATTTATTTGTTTGCGATTGACTTATTTCGCTAATATCCTGCAGATTCATCCATGCTGTATGGTGTTTTGAGAACTCGTTTTTCTTCATCACTGAGCAGTACTCCGTTGTATGTATGTGCCATGGTTTACTTTCCGTTCCCCTTTGATGGGCACTGAGCTTGTTTCCATCTTATCATGAATAGTGCTGCAGTGAACACAGGTGTGCATGTGTCTGTATATCTTTTTGATAATTTATCATTATATTTTCCTTTAAAATTGTTTCTTCAAAAGTCTGAAATTTATTTATATTTCAAGTAGAGAGATTTCTCTATGTATCTGTTCTCCTTGGTACAGTGCATACTGACCCTCAGACTGGATCTGCCCCCTTTGATTTGGACGTCCTAAAAGGACCAGGCTTGTTGTGATGTGAGGCCTGAGGTGGTGGTGTGCTCTGATTTCTAACAAAGCACCAGGAAATGAGCGCTCTTTTTTAAGGTGCTGGGCTCGTTAAAGTCTAAGCCCAAACCCTAGAGAGTCTAGCAAGTGCCAGACAGGTTAGGAAGATGGCTGAAACTCAATAGGGTTGCTAAGCACTAATTCTTCTCTTTTTGAAGCAAAAACTCCCTGGTGTCCCCTTCCTCGGCCCCTGGTAACCACTGATAAACTTTGTTCTCTGTGCATTTGCCTGTTCTAGATACATCGTGTAAGTGGGATCAGACAGTTTTTTGTGTGTCCAGCTTCTTTCACTCAGCGTAATGATTTCAGGGTTCGTCCGTGTTGTAGCATGTATCGTGAATCCCTTTTTCGTCATGGCTGAATAACATTCCATTGTGTGGATGGACCACATTGTGTTTATCCATCCTCTGTTGATGGACACCTGGGTGGTTTCCCCCTTTAGGCTGCTAAGAACAGTGGTGTAGAGGTATCTGTTTCAGAGTCCCTGCTTTCAGTTCTTTTGGGCAGATACCTAGGAGTGGGATTGTTGGGCCATATGATGATTCTGTGTTTAACTTTTTGAGGAACCCCAGGCCGTTTTTCCCGCAGCGGCTGTACCATTCTAAGTTCCAACCCCCATCGCGTCCTTGCCAACGTTTGTTAGTTGCTGTTTTTTCTGGTAACAGCCAGCCCAGTGGGTGTGAAGCGATAGCTCACTGTGCGTTTGATTTGCATTTCCCTATTGACGATAAGCGTTTTTATGGTTTTTGGGTTCTTTCTAAAAGTGTGGCTGTTTTTACTTCATGTTGTATACTGATGTTTTCTGGCATAAGTGCATAGGTTACCTGTGACCTGAGCAGCATGGCCTGGGCATCGGGAGGCATGATTGTCTCCTGGCAGCAGCGGCTGCCTCCGCAGTGGGCATTGGCCGCAGGGCCTCCAGAATCCTGGTGTTTCCAGGTGCACCTGGGCCTCCGTGATGCCTGTGTCCTGGAGGTAGTGGCTGGGGTGGAGTCAGGAGGGCCATGCCAGTGTTTGGAAGCAGTTGCCTTCTTAATGCATTTTTCTTTTATTTCAGGTAAATCTTAAAATGAGAGAGATAACAGAGAAAGAAGTTAAATTAAAACAACAGTTATTGGAAAGTCCAGCTCACCAAAAGGTAAAGGGTAAACTTGGTTTCTTTGGAATGCATTAAGTTAACTTTGCTCTCAGTTTTAAAAAAGTATTCCAGTAACTACCACTATTTGCTTATTTTTATTTTTGTTTACCAAAAGAAGGGGCCAGCCTTTTGGACTCCCCCCGCCCTCGCCCCCACAGGCTGGCTCTGCGATCCCGGGTGAGGGCTGGACACAGATGATCTCCTGGCAGTAGCCTGCTCCCCTTTCTGCTGGGACGGGAAGCATGAGGAGAGGGACCTGTGGGAGGGGTCGGGAGCTGGTCAGCAAGAGAGGAGAGGCACCCTGGGAAACCCGTGGGTGTGTGTCGGGACAGGGACATCATGGTCGGGACAATGTGGAGGGCATGCTGCCCCGCCCACCGCGGACCTGACGTCCCTTGTGTCTTCATGTGGGGAACCCACACAAGTCAATGCCTGTGGGCCACGCTCGGCCGTACCCACTGTCTCCTGTGGGGAGTGAGGCGTGTGCTCCCCCTTTGTCTCCTCCTCTCCCTCCCTGAGGCTCTGGAGTTGCCACTGGCTACCGCCCTTAGGCCACCTTGGTCAGCCAGGACGGTGGCAGCCAGTCCCCGTCTGTGCCCCCCACATGCTCCCCTAACCCCACCTCAGCCTCCTGCGTTCCACCACGTTTTTGGGAATCGGCCCATTGAGCATGTAGGTGAAGATACGGCACTGAGCACCCTGGGTCAGAGTGACTTTGTCCCTTTTGGCACCATCCCATGCCACGTTTCTGAGTGTTCTTTGCTGCTGCAAAGCTGTGAGGCCGAGGGGCTCCTCATCTCCTGCTCTGGTCCTCTGAGCATCAGACTGCCTGAGGGTCGTGTCCCCTGGGTGGTGCTGTCCCTCGGGGTCACTGTTCCGGCCTCTGAGCACTGGTGGAGCGTGTTCGGGGTGCTCTGCTGACCTCCTCTCCTTCCTCCTCCCCTGCTTCCTCACAGTCTCCCTCCAAGTGGTACTGGAAGCTGGTGCCCGTAAGTGGACAACTGACCAGCTGCCACCAGCACATTGCGTCCAGTCATCACTCGCTTCCATTGAAAACTGCTCGCAGCCGAAACTGTTTCTTTTGTTCATGTCCTCTGTGTTGTCACTGCACTTTGTACACAGGAGTGGCCACCGACCTGGGCTGAGCGGCTTTGTGACATGGTGCTCTGGAGCTCTGCTGCGTTGTAGACACTCAGAGTTTAGTTTTGCCCGATTTCGTAGGTTGTTTTAAAGAGAGTGTGTTTCTTCTTCTGGACACGCTTAGTTCCTCCTTTATGTGGCCAGCATAAGCTGACATGACAGGACTCACCCTCTCCCAGCAGACACCAGGATGAATGAGAAATAGGCTAGTGGCGTGAATTCCTCTGTGCGTTTTGTTCTGTTTCTCATGCGACTTCCTGATGCTGACAGTGAATCTGGTGTCGCTGGATAGCTATAGAACGCACTGTTTTGAAGATGGCAGGTCGTGTGGGCTGCTAGGGCACTTCTGGTCTGGAGCTCCCCAGTGCCTCTGTCCAGTTCCTGCTGGCCCTGCCTGTCCCGCAGGGGGTGCTGCCCAGAGCGGGGACGGGCCCCCTCGTTCCCAGGGAAGGGTTGAGCTAGGTCCGCATGGATAAGTGGGTTCATGCTAAGCGTGAGTTTTCACATAAAAAGAAAGTTTTAAAAACAGAGACAGGGTTCTAGAGCCCCAGCGGTGCTCTCAGCGTGGCCCTTCAGAAGCAGAGCAGAGCTGCCGCTCCTGCATTGTCTCCACAGAAAAGGGCCTGGCGGTCCAAACAGTGTGTGTTAAAGTGAACTTTTGGAACACACATCTTTTAATTATTTGGACCAGATTCTTTTTTCACCAGATTCTTTATGACCATGGAGGAGAGACCAGTGGGTGTCAGTGGTAAGCAGGGCCCGTCTGAGCAGTGGTGTCTTCTGCTTCTTAGTGGACAGACATTTTACTTCTCTTTGAAATGTATTTTTAAGAAAGAAGAGGAAAGCATTTTATGAATATTTAAATATCTTTTAACTTCTTGAATCCTAAAAGCCAGAGAGCTAATATTACAGTAGCTCCACGAGGAGGGTGGGTAGTCAGGGGCTCACAGAGCTCAGCTCTCCTCGAAGAGGCCGCTTCAGGGGAGAGCTTCCTTAGCACGGGGGGTGGGCCAGAGTTGCCTTTGCTCAGGTGGTTTATAGCGGTAACTGTCTGCTGCCGCGCCCAGCAGGTCAGTAGAGGACAGATATGGAAAGGTCTGGTACAGATGGGCAGGTTCAGAGGTTTGACCTTGAAACTACAGCATAGAGGTTTAAAGAAACCTGATTTGCAAGGTGATTATACGAGCTAGCTGGACCCCTGAAGTTCAGAGACAGTTTTGCCTGATGTTAACCCCCATCATCCATCTTTAATCAAGAACCCATTTGCTTCACTGCATGCCTGTGGCCGTGTTTGCTGTCTCTCTGGAAGCCTGACCTGGCGCATGCGGTAGTGTCCTGCATGCTGGTGCCCCCGGAGTGTGCACGTGTGGTACAGTATCGGGCAGGGGCTGCGGTGCGCTCCGAGAAACAAGTTAAAGTCCAGGCCAGAACACGTTCTTGAGACAAAATAAGCCTGATTCCTAAATTTAAAAGAATGTGTGAGAAATGTTTTATACTAAACCTTAATATTGATGACACTACAGAGTCCTGGTGGCAAAGTGGTTAAGAGCTTGGCTGCTAACCAAAAGGTCGGCAGTTTGAATCCACCAACTGCTCCTTGGAAACCCTATGGGGCAGTTCTACTCTGTCCTGTAGGGTTGCTATCAGTCAGAATTGACAGCGGGTTTGGTTTTTCATACTATAGGCTTATTGAGAGAACACCTTTAAATTCTCGATGGCCGAGAGACGATTTTTCCTCGGGCTGCACTCCTCGTCTGCATTACTCCCAGAAGCTTTTAGTCCAGATTGCTGGTTTTCTCACTAGCTGTATTAGGTATTCTCCTTCTCTGGAGAAGATTCAGCTTGTGGGAAGATGCCGTGTTTTAACGCTGCATTGTGGCTAGTGACACGGACAAGTTTGCCACGGACCCTTTGGAAACGGAGCCGGAGCTGCCTTCCTCCCTTCGGAGGCACTTGGTACCTGCGGTCGGAAGCACGGCCCGGGTCAGGAAGTCAGGCCGCAGGTAGCTCAGTTTCCTCTGACTGCAGAGACCTGGAAACCTCGAAAACAGTTGCTTCATAGAGCACCTTGCACGGGCTTACCTTCCTGCGGCTTTGTTTCCAGTGTTAGAGGGGCTGGTGATTACCTTACATACAATTTTGTCTCACCTGGGTTTCTGAAATTTCTCCAACTACATGCTGTTTTCTCTCAATGGCAGAGAGTAATGCTGACCATACTTAGAAAAGTAGCAGTAACTTGGGTTTCCCAGGCACTAGGATGTTCACCATTTAACTTGTTTCTCGTTCGTGTACAGCGTGTCGGCTTCTGTAGTTTAGACATGTGTTCTGCCCCCTCGGCCGCGTGTGCCCGCCTCCGTGGCCGTGCTGGGCCTTGGCTCTCCAGTGTCTGTCAGAGTTAGCCTGTCTCTGTGGGGCTGGTAACAAAACTGCTGTTACTCGGCGCAGCCACGAAGTCACTGTTATCATACCCAACCCCTTGGACCCTGACATATATGTTCCAGGCAAAGTATGGAATCCAGACATTTTGGGCTTTTTCTAGACGATTGCACTAGTTCTAAACATCGTCTAGGAGGCCTGAGTTTAATTCTTGATTCAACAGTGTGCCTGTAACATATATGGTGGTTAAGATCCATCGTATGTAGAGACCGTTTTCCTTTTATCAACTGCAGGTCCGCTATCGACGAGAGCACCTTTCCAATAGGCAGTTACCCTACTTCCCGTTGTTGGAGGATTTGATGAAAGATGGCAGTGACGGTGCTGCTCTGTTAGCGGTGATTCACTATTATTGCCCAGAGCAGATGAAACTGGATGGTGAGTGACGCCCACTTCCTCCTCGACCTGGCGTGGAAGGCCGAGGGACGTGACGGAGTGCCGTGACCCAGCTGTTAACACAGGGAGCACACCAGACCCTCATGTCACTTGGGATGTTAGATCAGCACGTAGATTCTAGAAATTCAGGGCGATACGGTACTTGAAGGAGCCCCGGTGGCGCAGATGGTTCAGTGCTTGGCTGCTAACTGAAGGGCTGGCTATTCAAACCCACCCCGTGGTTCTGCGGGAGAAAGACCTGGTGATCTGCTTCCGTAAAGTTTACAGCCTAGAAAACCCTATGGGGCAGTATTTCTCTGTCACATGGGGTTGCTGTGGGTCGGAATCAACTTGACAGAATCTAACAACCACCACCTGCTTATATTTAAGCTGCACTTTATCTGACGGAAGAACTTTACTCTGAAAGTGTGTAATGTATTAAATTACTTTACGTGTGTCCCAGAATGGTTAGGATTTTGTAAATCCTAATGCGATTGATTGAAAGCATCTAGAACTTAGTTTGTGGATGGGAAAATTGATGCAAAATCCATCTTCTTTATGTGCCGTTTACGAACAGCTCCTCTGTGCGTGGTGAGGTGGCCTGACAGTGACAGCGCGTCTGTCTTTAAGGCACAATGGGGCTACTCGATGGCAGCGTGAGTGGGCGGTAGTGTACGCGTAGGGGGGGCTGTGGGTGTGTGAGTGCAGGTGCAGGGTCCACTGTGCATCTTCTTTCTGAATAGAGAGAGTGACCCATTCATGTCCTGTCTGAACTGTCTGTGCCAGGTTGCAGGCAGATGAGCCGGCACCAGTCTTGCTCCTGCCCCAGGTAACAATGCTAGATAATACCGTTTTTATAGATGAGAGTTTCTAAAGTACACAGCTGGACCTGAAAGAAAGGGCTTCTGCCTTTAAGTGAAAAATTCAGGAGTCAGTTGCCTGGGGCCTGTGGGGTTGGAGTTCTCCTGCTCATCTGGCCTTGGGAGCCATAACCAGGACCCTCAAAAGGCTGCTCCGTTTCAGAAGAAAGACCAGAAAAACTCCACCTGCTGGCCCAGGAGGGGGCTAGCAAGCTTGCCAAGTGCCTGTAGCTCTGGGTGTGGGGGCCCTCCCTGCAGAGATAAGCCCCAGGCTGATGACAGGTAGGAGGGGTTGAGTTTACATTCTTGTGTGGTGTGGGAATCCTGGTGGAGAGTGAGTGTAAGAGCTAGTGTAGGACTAGTGATGCGTGGGCTGTGTCAGCGTGAAAGTTAACCTGGCTGTGTAGGACTGCGTGCATTGGTGGACCCACGGGGACCTGCAGGACAGGAGGTGTCCACCGGTGGGTCCACAGGGGACCTACAGGACAGGAAGTGTCCACTGGTGGGCCCACGGGGGACCTACAGGACAAGAAGTGTCCACTGGCGGGACTGTGGGGTCCTGTAGGACAGGAATGTCAACCGATGGACCCACGGGGACCTGCAGGACAGGAGGTGTCCACCGGTGGGCCCACAGGGGACCTACAGGACAGGAAGTGTCAACTGACGGGCCCACGATGGACCTACAGGAAGGAAGTGTCCACCGGTGGGCCCACAGGGTACCTACAGGACAGGAAGTGTCCACTGGCGGGCCCACGGGGGACCTACAGGACAAGAAGTGTCCACTGGCAGGTCCACGGGGGACATCCACTGGCGGGTCCACAGGTGACCTACAGGACAGGAAGTGTCAACTGACGGGCCCACGATGGACCTACAGGACAGGAAGTGTCCACTGGTGGGCCCACGGGGTACCTACAGGACAGGAAGTGTCCAACAGTGGGCCCATAGGGGACCTACAGGACAAGAAGTGTCCACTGGTGGGCCCACGACAGACCTACAGGACAGGAGGTGTCCACCAACGGGCCCACGGGGTACCTACAGGACAGGAAGTGTCCACTAGTGGGCCTACAGGGGTCCCGCAGGACCGGCAGCCCCCTAGAAGGTGAGCTCTGTGAGAACTCAGAGGCCACACGGGGCAGTCTGCAGAGGAACAGCAGACACCACAGAGCCCTGTGGCACAGGAAATGGATGCAAAAGAACATCTCGCAGAACATACGGTACTCCGAGTGAAAAGGGGTCAAGGAAGAGGAACGGCTGTGAGGAAGGCCTGGGAGAAGAGCGCCAAGTGCAGGCCCGAGTCGCTGCTCTGTCTCCCCCTCAGCATGTGCTTCATGTGGCCGTCTTTGACCTGCGCCGCCGCACCCTCTTCCAGTAGACGATTCAGCTCTTCCTGTAATCGTACCTGGTCTGCCCTCTAACCTGCCCCCTGGGGACCCCGAGAAAGAAGAATCTCCAGGGAGATGGAACGAGCAGTTCACAGGAAGGTGTAATGGCGCTGAGGCTCATTGTACCTAATACCCAGCTTCCAAGCATACTGAGAAGGAAGGACAAGTACAGGGAGAAAGTGGCAGAGCCAAGGCTCATGACGTACACCACAGAGACTGATGGACGCGTGGTCACAATCTCCTACAGCCACAGGTGCTTTGAACAGAGTTGAACAGGTGTGGCCCAGCACACCAGTCATCAGGACTACACTTTTTAAGTTTTAATTTAAAATAAACATGGAAACATTTACAAAAAATGGACTAATCAAGGCCACAAAGAAGTCTCAGCAGATCCAGAGAATTAATATTTTCCTAGCAACTCAGTAACAAAAGGATGCCATCTCTCTCCCACATCTAAGATCTTCAACACTCGGAAACCAAGAAAGATCTTCCCAAATGTTTCATGAATCAGAGAAGAAATGGTGGTGGGGGTTGTAGTCCACGGGCATACGCCAGTACCTGAAGCCGTGCTGGGACACGGTATGCCTGGTGAGCGTCTGCTGGGGAAGTGGGCACGACACGCTTGTGGGATGCAGCCCAGCAGGTGTGCCGAGGGAAAGCTGTGGCCTTCAGTGTGTGTTCTAGAAAACAGGAAGTTCCAGAACATGGTGAGCTAGGTTCCTCTAGGAGAGCATCAGATAAACCCAAGAGAGTTGAAGGAGGGAAGAAATGAAGGTAAAAATAGTTTTCTGTCTCCTCTGGTCACAAAGTAAAGGAAAAACGGGATTGGAGATTCCATCTTAGATGAAGGTGGGACACAGCTGGATGCTAGACACAGTGTGAGCTGATGAGGGAACAGTGACAGCAGCGAGCAAGGAGGCCAGATGGAGGGCAGTGGACGCTCACCTGGATGGGAGCTGGCCACAGCACGGGTGCAGGGCATGTGAGGGACTGTGGTGTGCATGTGAGGGATGGTGGTGCGGGGCGGGGGTGGCCTGAAGGTTTCTGAACAGCAGTGAGCGCTCAGGTCCGCTGCCTCACCCTCACGCCCCCTCAGAAGGCGAGGCGCGCCCCCGGAGAAACAACCAGCCGGGTTCTGGCCTGAGAACCCAGGCAGAGGTGGTGGCAAGGCAACATCCTGAAACCTGGCCTGCTGTGGGAACTCACACTGCAGGTGAGACCTTCTCCCTGTCATGGCCGCCCGCCCAGGAAGCTCCTTCACGTGCTTGGAGCCATGGTGCTGACGCCGCTCGTGCCTACGCCACAGGTTTCTCCCTGCAGAGCTGTCCGGGAGGCAGTGGCCCCTGCCCAGTCGCCACAGCAAAGCCCGCTTCCCAGTGCCTCACCTGACCTGTGAATGGACAGCAGAGATGCCAGGGGTGCGGAAGCCACTGGCCCGAAGGAGAGACCAGTCAGCAGGAGCCCTGAGGACACGGGCCTGTGAGGTGAGGACAGGGTGCCGTGAGAGGACAGGAAGTGGTGTGTATGAAATAACTGGACCTGAGAGATCTCAGAGCATCAGCCTAGGAGAAGGAGAACAGAGAAGGCAGGAGAGAAGAACTTACTGAGGGAAAATGTAGAGGAACGTCCCCACGGACACGAGTGGTCAGTGACGAGGAGCCACACCAGGGCACACCGCAGCCCTGCGTCGTGGCAGAGAGACAGACAGGCCTGGGGCCCGAGTGGTGTCAGCTTCTCAGCTGCAGGCCTGGCAGCAAGAGGACAGCATGGCCAAGCCTCCAGAATGCAAGGGAGATGCTTGTCCACCTTGGACGCTGTCAGCGGGGTAGAGGGTGGTGATAGAAGAGAGAGTTCTTCAGAAACGCAAGGTCTTGGAGGGGCACAGCCAGCAGCGTTTCTGAGGATGTGAGGATGGGCTCAGGAGGGCATCCAGGGTGCGCCCCCCACAGGGCCAGGAAAGAGAGGGAGGGGACCTGGGCGTAGGGGGTCCAGCCCAGAGCAGAGGCATGGGGATGTTCAAAGAAACAAAGGAAATGAGGAGATGAGGCAAGTGTTGTGTCTGGGAAAACCAGAAAGTTGTACAAGATGCAGCGCAGCCCAGCTGTGAGAAATCTGCATGCAGCTGTGGTAACAGTGGGGCTTAGTCTGGAGGTAACCCCACAGCATCTGTGCGGTGTAGCTGTGGAGGGCCCTGGCTACCGAACGGCTGACAGCAGGTGCCGTCCCTCGGTGGCAGGGTGGGCATGGAGCCACATTGCAGGCGAAAGCCTAGGAGAGGGGGTGGCAGACAACCACTGTTTCTCTTAACAAGCTTTTTTCATACTGTGGCTTTTTAAAGACTTCATGTGCCTTGTTAACAATTAGTTTAAAAGTTTTAGATAAATTCAGTAGCAGAAATTAATAGTGGAAAATGGAAAGTTTTAGAGAATATGCAGAACTAAAAGCTGTGGTTTTTAAAGGGTTAATAGATATCCTCTGAAACGACTGATCAAGGAAAGAGGGCTGAAGTAAAGGCTATAGAGGACAAGAGGATATATGTGCAGATCTAGTAGACACTAAAACAATAAGACAAATATTGTGAATATTTGTATGCCACACGCACTTGAACAGTTAGATGAAATGGACAATTTGCTATTGAACCAAGAAGAGACAGAAACCTGAAGAGACCCATAGCTACAAAATGCACGGGCTCAGTGGTCAAAAGCACCCCCACGAAGCAAGTGTCTGCACAGGCTGGCTCTGCTCTCTCTTCAGGCCTCCCAGGAGTCCATCCGGCACTCTGTAAACCGTCCAGAGAACAGGAGAGGTGGCATGCGCCCGGCTTTTGGGAGGGTGTTGTTACCCTGACACCGAAGTCGACTGTGAGAGGGAAACTATAAGGAAGGAATAAAGATTGAAATGGCCTGCGTAAAGTACTGGAAACGAAGAATTCAGCAGTTCAGCAACATCCTGTAGGATCATCTCGGTGGATCAGAAAACCATTTCCAAAAGCTCACTGCCCACTTGTGCTGAGATCCCTGCCCCGGGCCCTAGCGTACTCACGACTTGACCTGGTGGAGGTGGTCTGCCCCCACTGACGGCAAACCTGCTTCTCAGTGGAGACGCGCCGGAGCCGCCCCTGAGCGTCCCGACCAGGGTGACCAAGCAGATGGGGCGAGGAGCTGGAGACAGACGCGGAGGCCACGCTGGTCCCAACCTGGCAAACCACGGGTGACAGCTCGTTGTGACCGTGCTCCCCAAAGGAGGCTCCTGTCTGTAACACAGCAAACACTGTCAAGTCTGCGGGGATCAATTCAACAAAACAGATGTGAGATCCAGGGGAAATTGTAAAACTTTTCTGCAGCACTTGAAGAAGTCCGCAACCATATCCTCAGATGCCAGGAGTCAAGATTATAAAAAGTATCATTTCCCCAGATGGTTCTAGAAGTTTATTCCAGTCTAATAACTTTGTTTTCACAGAAATTGACCAGGTAATGCAAAAAATTCATGTGGAAGAGTAAGGGCCCAAAACAGCGAAGCTCGTTTTTTGTAACATTTTATTTGGTATCATTTTAAACTTACAGAAGAATGTACAGAGACTCCTGCGTACTTCTTACCTGGATTCCTGGTGGTTGCATTTTGTCATGTTTGTGCTGCATTCTCTCTCTGACCCCTTTGAGAGTTTCTTCTATTCCTGAACGCACAAATTTCCAAAACACAAAATCGTTTTCTTACACAACAGTGTACGACATCAGGGGAGTTAACAGTGAGACACCACCCATCAGCAGTCCTGGTCTGGATTTTGTCCATCATCCCAAACCTGTCCTTTCTTTTCTGGTGATTTTTCCCAGTCCAGGATCACTCGTGTTGGGTTGTGTCTTATGGTAGTTCCCTTCAGTCTGGAAGTTTCTCGGCCTTTCTCTGTCTTTCTTGACCTGACTCTTGTGGAGAGGTGGGCAGCTAGTCTGTGGACGGCCCGTTCGGGCTCGCCCGATGCGTCCTCAGGATGAGATGAAGTGTTGCGTCCTCAGTGAGAATGCCGCACAAGCGATGTGTCTTCCCCAGGGCGTCTCGTCAGGAGGCACAGGTGTCTGTCAGTCCCCTAGTCGGTGATCCAGCGTTGAGCACCGGGTGAGGTGGTGTCTGCTGGTCCCTCCGTCTGCGATGCTAACTGGCACTTTGTGGGCAGAGGCTTTGAGGCCAGCTAGAGACTCGCTTCTCATCAGCCTTTCGCCCACTAGTTTTAGCCTCTGTGGCTGGTTCTCTGACTCGGTCGCTGCTCTCACCCGTCTTAGTTAGTGTCCCACTGCGAGGAAGGGCTTTGTTCATGAGCGCAGTTATGCCCGTAAGGCCCCAGGGATTCTTGGTTATTCTGCGGGTTATAGTCATTTTTTATCTTGTTGCTTAAATTGTCCCAGATTTTGGCCAAGCGGGTTCTGAAGAACAAGAACGTGAGGTACCTGCTCCACAAACACCCAGTTTTGTTCACCGTCGCGTTAGCTGACACACCAGTGTGGTTTGGATTCAGGAATGGTTCCTGAACCACAGAAACCACGGACAGAGACCTCTGTGTGGGAGTCTGGTGTCACTCAGGCGGCCGATGAGTCAGGAGAGGAAGTGCTGGCCGAGCTGGATGCAGGGACAGACGGCTGTCTACACAGGGGTACTCCATGAAGCCCCTGGCCCAGGTCATAGAGAAACAGCCCTCCTGTGGACCGAAATCTGAAATGCAAAATTTAGGAACTTTGAGAGAAAATATAGGAAAGTATTTTTATGACATTGGCGTTGGGATGGATTACTTAAATTACAAAAAAGCACAAATAATAGAAAAGATTGTTAACCATATTAAAATTAAAAACTTTTCTATACAAAAACCCACCTTAAAGAAAAGAAAATCTAAAACAATGTTTGCAACAACTATAAAGTGACATCCTTTTATAATCATAATATATAAAGGATTCTTCTATAACCATGATGGGTAAAGAATTCCCGCAGATTAGTCAGAAGACAAGATTAACAACCCAGAGGTAAGATGAGAGCAGGCACGGTGAAACCTCAGTGGTCAGTGAGCACACCGGGGGACCGCCCCGGGAATCAGGACACGTTGTTTCACGCCCCCCGCACGTGGTGGTCCTGGTGTGGGGGTATGGGGGGTGGGCTGTGAGCACAGAGCTCTGAAGATGGTGGGAGAGAGGGGAACACGTGTGGCTGTTGACACGGGTGACTGTGACACCCCATGTCAGCACAGGCCCTCTGGGAAGCGGTGATGAGGTTTTGGAAAAAACAGGCTGCAGAATGAGAGGCAGAGTTTAGATCATTTGTGCCAGTTTAACAAAGTCAAGACAGCACCCCATTGCTGAGGGCACGTTGTTCATGGATACACACCACATGTAATGAGGGTACTCAGGCAGGAGTGGGCAGGGGGCTCCCCGACTTGCTGTCTGTGATAGTCTAGTTCTTCAGCAAACACGATCTGAAACAGATATGGTGTGACAATATCTGTCCATCTGGGTGGGGAGGGGTGCATGAGGGGGGTCTCATCTTCTTTATAATATCACATAATCACATTGAAGAAACAACATAAAAGTGCCCACTCAGCTTTCGAGTTAACGGGTTTCTCTTGAGAATGAATAGTGCTGAGGGGACCCTATAGGACAGACTTCATGAATGAATCTGGGCTCTGTGAATCTGAATTTGTACATACTTCCTAACCCTTAAAAGTGTTTTTTTTTTTCCCTTGGAAATAAAATTTATTTAGAATAAGTTATAGTTCTCAAATTTCTTTTAGTATGTATATATTTAAGGCAAAATAACTTTCAGTCATAAGTTCGGCTATTTCTAATTAGTCATGAGATCTCCCCTGCTGTCCCCGTCCCCCCGAGGCACTAGGTGGCCGTCCTAGCTCTCTGTTGCATCTTGGGCACCTCCCAAGTGAGGGTGCCCAGTGCCCTGCAGAGCAGGAGGGCCGTCCCACCCCTTCCCGGGGCGGCGTCTGCTCTATGTGTCACTGAGCTTCTTCTCAGTGACACCCGTTTCTCACTGGGTGGGCGAGAGTAAACTGGGCATGGAGATAACCCCTGCAGAGGCTTCCACTGGGGAAGGTAACTTAGTGAGCATTTTCTAACTTCATGCAGCCCGGTCCCACAAAAGGTGATTTTCACTGTCCGTTTTGGAAGCCCAGTCTTAAAAACTCAAATAATTTCTTTTACACATTTTAGATGTTAACTACAATTAAATGAGATCCTAAAGAGTTCTCAGATCTTATTTTTCTTGGGTGTTTTCCTAGCATATTTAGTGTTATTTGTAATACTATAGTCTTTAAATCGCATAGTAGTCACCAGTTTCATGTAAGTGTTTTTTAGTTCAGATTTATTTACGTTACTTGTGAAGCAGGCCATCTTTGTAATGAGTTCTGATTCTGTTCCCTTCTGTTAGATATATGCCTGAAGGAGGTAACGTCGATGGCTGACAGTCTGTATAACATTCGGCTTCTAAGAGAATTCTCAAATGAGTATCTTAACAAGTGCTTCTATCTCACCTTGGAAGACATGCTGTACGCCCCCTTAGTGCTGAAGGTAATCATGAATTGTCAGACACAGCACTTCAGACTCTGTGCGAAGAAGCTGGCTCACAGTGCTCATGTTGTCTCTTTTCAGCCAAATGTTATGGTTTTTATTGCTGAGCTCTTCTGGTGGTTTGAGAACGTCAAGCCAGATTTTGTTCAACCCAGGGACGTTCAGGAGCTGAGAGATGGTGAGTGACATGCCTTCCCCGACTGATGGCCTGTGAGGGATTTCCAGGGACCTTCCTCAGAAAGTGTCCTGAACTGGGTCCTCCTTTTTTGCACCACAGTGGTTTGCATATTTAAATACAGAGGCAAGTCACGTGGCCTTAGTTATTTGTCTGGCGCTTTTCACTGTGTCCGGTCAGAATCACTCCCAGAGCTCCTTCAGGCTGGACGGCTCTGGGCCCCGTGTCCTCAGGACGGGAGCCTGGGGGCCTGGCGCTGGTGATGCTGAGACTCTCAGAACCCTCCTTGTCAGGAGTGTGACTCAAATCCTGTGCCATTGCTCACCCTGCACAGTGCTTTCTTTGCCCCTGAAGCAAGGCCCAACAAGCCAAAACCAAACTTTACTCTCTTTACCCAAGAGTGAAATAGTCCACCAGCTTTGAGAACCTGGAAGGATAATGCGAGAAGAGAATGTAGGAGAATGGCTTCATGACTTTGGGTTAGTAAAGTATTTTTTATGAAGAATACGAAAACATTTTAGCCACAAAAGAAAAAGATTGATGAATTCAGCCACATTAAAATTAAGATTTTTTTTTCATTAAAAGTTGATAAAAAGAGCTTAAAAAAATAAACCTAGCCACAGAGGGGGAGAAGATTTTTGCAACACATGCAACTCATACCCAGATATATCAAGAATTCATTTCATATCAGTCAGATCAAGAAAAACCAATAGAAAAATGAGTAACAGACTTGGGCGGCACTTCATGAAAGAGGGACTCCAGATGCCCAGTACGCTTAAAAATGGGCTCAGCCGCCTCAGCAATCAGGAATACGCAAATTAAAACAAAAATGATACAGTGTACATATACACACACCACACTGGCAAACCTTCAAGAAGTAAACAGCCACGAAGCTCACAGCGCCAGGGGTTGGGGAATGTCAGTGTGACCAACACTGGGGACGCATGTGCCTGCCCGCGCGAGTGTGCATGGGAGCGGCCTCTCTGGAGACCTCTTGGATGTTACTTAGTCCATGACCCCCGCAAGTCCGTTCCCGTGGTGTGTACCCAGTGTGTACCCGAACGTGTATACCAGGGGACCTAGGTATGCGTGCCTCAGGAGCCGGGGAGGGGAGGCTCATAGCCGCTCCGTTCATGGTACTTAAAGCGGAAGCTCTGTGAGGCCCATCTGCAGTCAGATGCTAAGTTGTGGGGGGTCCTGCATTGGGTGCAGGCAGTGGACACATGGACCACAGCTGCATCATCAGGGGTGAGTCTCAGTGAATAAAGATGCAAGATAGTACATAGAGCTGGAAACCAGCAGAACTGTATTTTCTAGGGTACCTGCGCAAGTGGGTGTAAAGGAAAGATGGAGTGATTACAGGCGGGAGAGGATTCCATCAGGAGGACACGTTGGGGCCTAACCGGCCCCTCTCACTTCCAGGACTGAGTAGAGCTTACGTGGATTTTGCTTTATAATTATTTATTGAACTACATATTGTTTGATGTACTTTTTGCATGTATGTTATATTTTACAGTTAAGGAAAAAAACGGTCAAAAATCTTAGAAGATTGCTGGCTTACCTTGCTGTTTGAACGTTCTGACGTCACCTAGATTCCTCAGGGAGGTAGACAATGGAGCTTTGGCCCCCAGGCTCCTTTCCTCCCTGTCTTCGACATGGACACTAGCCAGGATATTGTCATCACTGTTATACCTGGTTTCTTCATTTTGGTTCAGCTTAGCCCTAAGTCAAAGCTATTGCTAAATACTGTGAAACCTGTGAGAGCCAGAACTCAGTGGGACTACCTTGTTTTTCTGGATCTTTCAAGTTTTCTGCCTTTGACAGGGTGCGGTCTCACCACCTTTCTGTCGCTCCTTGTGGTGGAAAATATTTGAGTTCTCCTCCTCTGACAGATTTCTACCTTACACAGTGTCTCATCCATCTAGTGCTGCTGTAACAGAAATACCACAAGTGGATGGTTTTAACAAAGAGAAGTTTATGTTCTCACAGTTAGTAGGCTAGAAGTCCAAATTCAGGGCGTCAGCTCCAGGGGAAGGCTTTCTCTCTCTGTCGGCTCTGGAGGAAGGTCCTCGTCATCATCAGTCTTCCCCTGGCCTAGGAGCATCTCTGCGCAGGAACCTCGGGTCCGAAGGATGCGCTCAGCTCCCGGTGCTCCTTTCTTGGTGGTATGAGGTCCCCAACTCTCTGCTTGCTTCCCTTTCATCTCTTGAGAGATAAAAGGTGGTGCAGGCCACACCCCAGGGAAACTCCCTTTACACTGGATCAGGGATGTGACCTGGGTATGGGTGGTGTTACAGTTGCACCCTAAACCTCTTGAACATAAAATTACAATCACAAAATGGGGGACAACCACACAATTCAGGGAATCATGGCCCAGCCAAAATAATACACAGATTTTTGGGGGGACATGATTCAAACCATGACATACAGGTTCCAGCTTTCCCAGGTTTTACTGTACTATTTTTTAAATATTATTGTCCATTCTTACTGCTTTTATGATGAAATACGCTGATTGTTTTATGCCGTGGTTACTGCAGCCACCTCTCCACAGCTGTCCACTTCTGCTTACCCCAGCTTCCTCCTGCATGGCCTCATTTCCCTGCCGTCGTCAGGGTCCCCTGCAGCCCAGGAACAGCAGCGATTCTCATTGCTGGGGAGCTCCTGGGGCTCGGAAGGCTTTCTGCAGCCCGGCCCAGCCGTTTCCTCCCCACAGTGCTCACGTGAGCCTGTGCCTGGGATCTCGTTGCTGCTGTTCCCGAGAGCCCCTGGTTCCCTCCCTTGTGTTAATCCACTCACAAACAGTTATTGAGCAGCAGCTGTGGACAAGGCACTGTGTCAGGCAGCCCCTGGGAGTGCAGGTACGCAGAAATCACTAGAATGCACAGCTGATTCCCGCAGTGCTTGTTGATGTATGCCGAGATGCGTGCCGGTCCGAGGAGCTGTGAGCTGTGGGAGGACAGGACAGGGTGCACCCACCTTGGGAGGACGAGCACCCTTTTCCGGGTGAAGCGGGGAGGGGGGCAGAGGAGAGCAGGAGGCAAAGCTCCAGCACTGCAGCGTCTTCATGATGCGTTCAGGGGCACAGTTGGGCTGCATTGTGGGGAGCTAGGATTGCCAGGTTTTCCTCCCAGACCCCCGCCTTGCCCAAGAATACCTAGGGGCGCCCAGATGGGTGACCTGGGTGCCAGACATGCTCCTTGTCTCCTCGTGTGACAGTTGGGCTGCATTGTGGGGAGCTAGGATTGCCAGGTTTTCCTCCCAGACCCCCGCCTTGCCCAAGAATACCTAGGGGCGCCCAGATGGGTGACCTGGGTGCCAGACATGCTCCTTGTCTCTTCGTTTGACAGTTGGGCTGCATTGTGGGGAGCTAGGATTGCCAGGTTTTCCTCCCAGACCCCCGCCTTGCCCAAGAATACGTAGGGGTGCCCAGATGGGTGACCTGGGTGCCAGACATGCTCCTTGTCTTCTTGTGTGACAGCAGCCTCACCCCCTTATGACGGGGTTCTTCATCTGGCCGAGATGGTGGCTCCTCTTCTTCCTGCTGGCCCTTGGGAACAAGGAGCCGTAATGTCCCGGAAACAGCCGTAGCTGACTGTTGGGATGGGACACCACCAGTGGGCTCATGGGCCCTTGCTGACGGTGTGCCCCTGGTGTGGCATGGTGTTCTGTGGGCTGTGGGATCCCGTGCTGAGGAACTGTGCCCTCTAAGCCATTGGGCGGCGGAGCCAGCCAGGCCTTGTGGGCAGGAAGGGCAGACACTCACACAGTACGTGTTACTCCTGTCAAAACGGACTGGTCCTCCAGGGTGGAAGGGTCCATATAGCCCCCCTCCCCCAGGTAGGCGGTTGGTCTCCCAAGGAGCAGTACCGCTTCCGGGGTGCAGCGTTGGTGTCTGTCGCTGGCAGGGTCAGCACTGGGTGGCCCTGCTGAGTAGAGCTCTGTGCTATTGGTTCCGTGCTCAGCCCCCATAGCTGCCCTGTGGCCACTCCATCCTTGGGCCTATCCTCCCTGCCCGGGTGACTGAGACAGAGGCTGGCTGGCGTCGGCCTGCAGGGCTGTTACGTCAGTGTTCTGAATTGACCACCGGAAAGCAAGCTTAAGGAGCCCTGGTGGCTCAGTGGTTAAAGTGCTTGCCTGCTAACTGAAAGGTCAGCAGTTCGAACCCACCAGCCGCTCTGTGGGAGAAAGATGCAGTAGTCTGCTTCCATAAAGATTTTACTTATAGCCTTGGAGACCCTGTGGGGCATTTGTGCTATATGGTCTCTGCGAGTCGGAATCGACTCCATGGCAATGGGTTTAAGCCAAGCTTGGGGTTTTCCTTCTTGTGTCAGGTGGTCTTGAGGGACCCTCGTATAAATAGAGATGAGCTGAGAGGGAGCCGAGCAGGAGTGGCAGGTGAGCTGGGTCTGGCTCTGCTCACGCGGCTGTGCCCTGTGGTCTCCTCAGCCTGGAGCCCTCAGGTCCGCCATGATGAGTAGTTGGTGGCTGTGCTTGACCTTCTGACAGGACTCAGGTCATGGTGGGCAGCCCAGACTCGCGGCCAGTCGGTGTCCCGTGCCCGGGGTGCTCAGTCTCCACTGGTGCCCAGGAGCTGGCCAGGACTTGTTCCCTAAAGCTGTGTGACTGTGTGGCAGGCAGCACAGCCTTGCTTCAGAATCCTGGTGTCCTGCACTGTTTCCCACTCTGGGGCTTGCCCCAGACCCCGCACGGCTTCTCCCCCACCAGTCCTTGTAGTGCCACGGGGCCTGCGGAGCGGTGCTGTGCGGCCAGAGGAGCAGCTGGGCTGGCAGTGCAGCCCAGGCCTGCGGCGGAGCCCCGCCCTTAACCCCGCCCCGAGCCCCCTCGGTGGAGCTCTGCCCTGAGCCCCGCCCCGAGCCCCGCCCCAAGCCCCCTCGGTGGAGCCCTGCCTAGATCCTTGCCCTTAACCTCCTCCAGTGCTTGCCTGAGTCTTGCCCCTAACCCCCCAGTCCTGCCCTGAGTCCCGGTCTTAACCACCTCCAGCCCTGTCCTGAGTCCCGCTGCTTCCTGCCTGCCTTCCACACCATCCCAGATGGAGCACGGGTCCCACGTCCCCTCCTCTGGTGATGACTTAGTGGCCCCTGACGGCTGGGCCCCTTTCTGGAGTATGAGTGACGAGGCTTCCCCATGCTCTCTGTCCTGGCAGCAGCCCTGCTTCCTCCTGATGGTTGGAGTGGGTAGTGATGTCACTGAGGTGTGAGTCAGTGTGCTGTTTCTGGGGTGTCCAAACGGCTGGGTCCTGCAGGCCAGAGCAGTGAAGCTGGCCCGAGCACGCAGCGTGGTCCAGCCCGTGGGTGCACAGTGCCTCTAGGAGCAGAGTGAGAGGCACCCCCGGGGTCGCCCCTGAGGAGATGGGCCTCGGTCCTGCTGCCCACAAGCGTGAGCCTGGAAATAGCGTCTGCCCAGGCCTCCAGTCAGGCCCCTCCCGCTCTGCAGGCCAGGCTGGACTGGGCTTTGCTGCAGCGTCACCCTGGGTGTAGGCTGGTGGCCAGGAGGGGAGGTGGAACCAGCCCTGGAGGTCACAGGTTGTCTGGAGAGACGCCTGGCTCCATTGGGGCTCAGCTTCTTTGGCCCTTTGTCCTAGGCCTGGTTGGCCCTCACTGCCTCCAGCTGCAGGACAGGGCATCCCTGGGCTCCTGCTGACGCCTCTCAGCCTTCCCTCATCTTTGCCCTGCACTTCAGCAGAGCGTCTGGCCCTGGTATCCTCACAGCCCCCACTTGTGCATCACGTCAGCGGGTGCGCCCTGGCTGCCTCCGCCGCATCCTCCTGTGTCCTCTTTTTGGAACCATTCCTGGCTCGGCTGCAGGGCAGGCCCTCTGGGAAGCGGCAGGAGTGGGGCGTGTTGTTGAGGATGTTCTTACGGAGTGTCCTTGGGACGTGCTCTGTGGAGGGTGGCCAAGCGGCGGGAGGGGCAGAGGGACATGCGGGCTGCAGGGTGGCCTGCAGCCTCACTTGACCTCTGAGGACTCAAGGCAGAGTGACCGTGTTGGCACAGGTTGGCCCAAGTGATCAGACCTTGTGTCGCTGCTTGTGTGGGTATGGTGTGAGGGGGGCTTTCCTCCAAGGGGCCCTGGAGGCGCCCTCACGTCTGTTATTGGGCTGAGCCATGGCAATAGGTGGGACACAGGGTGGGACCGCCACTGTCGGGCATCAGGTGGCCGGGGTCGACCACACACAGACACATCAGCCAGGTTTAAGATTTGTGTCACTGCACATTGTTCTTATCTGGGGTGTGCCTTTTAATTTTGATCTTGGTCTTTGTTTTGGAATAATATTTGTAGTATTTATTATTAAAGATACATTTATTGAATTTGAAATCAGGTTTTTCGGGGAAGTTTGGTTTCAGATAAAAGCTGCAGTTAGTTTTAGTACTTAGAAAGCCGCAGATTTTATTGAATGCGTTTTGCTAGTGTTTTAAGTAACTGCAGGTAACACAACTTCTATAAAATTGGTTTTTTTGCAGCTAAAGCAGTGTCACACCACAAAGGCAGCAGGCCTCCTGTCCCTATCTCCAACGCCACCAAGCGCAGCTTCATGGCCAGCCCGGCCCCAGCAAGCCCCGCGGACCTGCAGCCACCCACGCAGCCGGCCACCGAGGCCTGTGCCCGGTACTACCTGCACCCGGAGGAGTCTGAGTGTCTGTAAGTCATTCCGCCTTCAGCAGGCACCATCCTTCTCCCCTTCTCTGTTAGTAAATCTGTTTACAGTTTTAGTTGGAATTGTCTTTTTTGAATAGGTAATACAAAAAGTTCCAAAGGATGTATTGTGGAAGGTCTCCCTGCCTGCCACACCCCCAAACCCTAGCCCCTCTCCGGGCAGTGACCAGTGGTGCCGCTGTGCCCCCTGAGGTGGGATTCTGTAAGGAGATGTGTCCAGAAGAGGTCTTCTGCCCCTCTCCCACAGCAAGTCACACTGTTTCAGTGTCGACAGACGAGAGAAGGGGGGTTGATGGTTTCCATCCCCCATGATGTTGTTCTGGTAGATCAGAGGGAGATGCCCACGCGTTTGGAGGAGCGGGCCGCCCAGGCTCCACAGCTCCTCACACCTCAGGGAGCGTTCACATTGGCTCTGGGGAAACACGTGGAGAGAGCTGTTTGAAGGCAGGCTGGTGTAAACACAGAGGTGCTGAAAAGGTATTTTTTAAAAGTTGATTTTCATCATCAAGACCTAGCTTTGGATAGTGTATCTGGGGATCTGGTGCTCCTGCAATCTGGGGACAGGATGAGGGGCTTCCCTCTGATACGTGTGAGCTTCTTAGTGTGGGCATGAGGACTTGGCTGGCCAGCCTAGCAAGTTAGTGTGCCCACACGTGTGCAGGGAGAACAGGCTTTTAAATGAAAACACTTTTAAAATGTGCAGTCTCAGTTGGAATTCAAGTTAAAAGCAAACATTTATTTAAGGTAATTGGAAATAATTCATGTAATTGGATTTTGCTGTTACAAATTTGGAACTGGCTGTATTCCAGACCGTAACCTGAAGTCAGTATGTTCCCTGTTTGAAGTCTGGATATTTGTCCCAAGTTTGAAGTTCTTGGTACTCTTTTGGTTCATTTTTATAGTAATTACTTTTTCCTAAAACTAAACCCATTGCCGTCGAGTCACTTCCGACTCGTAGTGACCCTGTAGGACAGGGTAGAACCGCCTCCTAGGGTTTCCAGGGAGTGGCTGGTAGATTCGAACTGCTGATCTTTTGGTTAGCAGCTGAGCTCTTAACCACTCTGTCACCAGGGCTTCTCCTAATTTTCCCCAAAGAATCTGAATTTCTCACAGACCAGTGAGATTCATGATGGTCTCTGTGGTTTCCTTTGCTTTTGAACTTGAAGACGATCTGACAAATGGGTGACTGTTTCCTCTCCCATTCTTTTACTTCTAGTGGGAAAGCGACCTCTGCCTTCAGCCCGTCCCACCCGTTGTTGCCATTGAGGCAAAGGCAACAGAAAGCGCTGCAGGGGGAGGACAGCCCCGGTGAGGATGCCCTTCCCGCGCGGCCCCGCTTCCCACGCGGCCCCTCTTCCCGCGTGCCCCTCTTCTTGTGTACCCCTTTCCTGCGTACCCTCTTCACCGACTTCCTCTTTTGTGGTTTCCTACCTGGTTCTGTGGTTAAGCTTTAATAATCTTATCATGTTGTAGTCACTTCAGTTAAGAAGAATATGGTGGAATAAATTTTAACTTGTATTGACATACCTTAGAATTTATAGCCTTTACGGTGATAATGTCATTGAAATCTAGTAGATTATATGAACTCTACAGAAGATTGCTATGTTTTACCTAGGCAGGAACTGTGTGTATGTGTATATATACGTGCACGTATGTGTGTTTATACATATGCACATATGTGCATATGTGTGTGTATATGTGTGTATATACCTGTGTGTGTGTATGTATACATGTGTATATATATAGGTGTATGCGTATGTGTGTATATGTGGGTGCATGTATGTGTATGTATATGTGTGTAGTTATGTGTGCATATCTGTGTACATGCATGTGCATATATATATACATGTGGTCACTTAGAGCTCTGATTGGTTTATTTTGTGCTTTGGGCTGATTGCTGCTGAATTACACATCCCTGCCTTCACTGAAACTATAGAAGGTTGTATGGTTTCGGTTACCTGCCTGTAGCGTTGGTGTACTAAATTATAATCCATTTCCTCGAGAAATAGTTCTTATGTTGAGGGAATTGCAACCGGTGTGAAATAGTTTCCTACTGAATAGTAAAAACACATCATTTCCTCCAAACTGCAGATCAGCGACATCGATCTAATTCTCTAACCCGAGCTGACGGCCAGCCACGTGGTGTGGCGGTAGCGTGGTCAGATAAAAAAACCAGGTGAGTGACCGCCTACGCTCCTGATAGGTTTCTGCGTGGGGTGTCCCTTAGCCAAGCGGCAGCTCTCCAGGTGTGGCCCTGGGACCCCTTTCAGGGAGCCCCCAAGGTCAGAGCTGTTCTCGTCCTGATGCTGAGGCGCCGTTTGCCTTTTCCACTCAGGTTCTCTCACAAGTGTGCGGTGGCGTTCTCCAGGGGCCACGTGACGTGTGGTAGTGCCGTGGACGGAAGGCAGGGTCAGAAGGGAGATAGCAGGCATCCCCTGGACAGCAGAGGGCTCGGCAGAGGGTGAGGGGGCCACGCTCTCATGCTCTCGCCTTGTTTGGTTTTAGAAAGTGGAGGTAGTCATGTCACGGGTTTGTTACTGTTTTAAGGATTTCTCAGTTTTAATTTTTATTACGATCAGTGACAGCAAATAGAATAAGCAAAAGCTCTTTGGGGTTCTCTGTAAATTTCAAGGGTAGAAAGAGGTCCAGGGACTGGAACGTTTGAGAACCTCTGGTCTCTGGGCTTTTTTTTGCTCCAGTGGAGGTTTGGATCCCCCACGTTTGGATCTCCCACATGTGGCTCTCCCACGGGTGGCTCCCCCACGTGTGGCTCCCCCACGTTTGGATCTCCCACGTGTGGCTCTCCCACGGGTGGCTCCCCCACGTGTGGCTCCCCCACGTTTGGATCTCCCACGTGTGGCTCTCCCACGTGTGGCTCTCCGACGTGTGGCTCCCCCACGTTTGGATCTCCCACGTGTGGCTCTCCCACGTGTGGCTCTCCGACGTGCTCGTTCATTTGTTACTCTCGTCACCCAGTATTGTGAGCGTGTCTCGTGTGTGTGGTGGCATATCCAGTGGGTCTGTTTTCCCCCCTGCAGGCCTGTGTCTCAGCCAACCCCCTTTGCTCTTCATTACGCTGCGAGCTGCGACATGGATCTTGGCTCCGGCGACAGTGTCAGCTTGGCCCGCTCCATCAGCAAAGACAGTTTGGCATCCAATGTTATCAGTCTCACCCCACAGAATCAGCCTCACCCTGCAGCTGTAAAGACCAACGGGAGAAATCTCCTGAACAACGTCAATATTGAGGACGAGGATGAGGAGCTCTTGGCGATCATTAGAACAGATGCTCCTCACGGGGGTGACGTGCAAGTGCCGAGGGTCTCCCCCTGTGCCTCGCCTCGCGCCTCCCCTCAGGCCTCGGGTGTGACGGGTGCCAGGTCTCCCCAGAGGCAGGAAGACGCCTCAGAGAGTAAGCCTGATAGTTTTTTCTTGGAGCCACTAATGCCGGCTGTACTCAAGCCAGCAAAAGAAAAGCAGACGGTTACCAAGGAGGATGAGCGTGGAGAGGGGCGGCCCCGGGGCTTCACTGCCAAGAGATCCAATGAGGGCTACCAGTCTTTGGTACGAAGGAAAGTGACCAGCAGTCATGGCAGCCATGACCTGAATCGGACTTTCACCCCAATCTCCTGTTCAGAATTCCTGGTGGGTGTGGAGCCCGCACCCGCAGAGGTGGGATTGCCGTCAGCAGACGCTGCAGGAGAAACGTGCAGCCGGCCTGTGGCCAGCGGCGGTTTCCACCCGCTATCTCAGGTACAGTCTGTCGATGGCTTCTTCCTGCACGTAGCCAGAGCTGCTGAAGACCCCGAGGGGAGGCTCAGCATGAGCTGTTTGAAAAGCCCCGGCTCACAGGACTCAGATCCATGGACTCTCCTGAGGCAGGACTCTGATTCAGACGTGGCTGACATAGAGGAGGCTGAGCACAACCTGACTGGAGAGGACGGGCCTGTCATCCTTGCGAAGTACACCGGCGAGGAAGAGTCGGCGAAACTGCAGGAGGACATGAAGGTGAAGGAGCACGAGGACAAGGACGACGCCAGCGGCCGCTCGAGTCCCTGTCTGAGTACCATCTCTCAGCTCAGCAGTGTCTCCATGGCCAGCGGGAGCGTGAAGATGACCAGCTTCGCTGAGAGGAAACTGCAGAGACTCAACAGCTACGAGACCAAGTCCAGCACCAGCAGTTCCCAGAAGACCACGCCCGATGCGTCAGAGAGTTGCCCAGCACCGCTGACGACCTGGCAGCAGAAGAGAGAGCAGAGCCCGAGCAGGCGGGGTCGGGAGCACGCCAGCCTGCTGGCCTCGGAGTTGGTGCAGCTGCGCATGCAGCTGGAGGAGAAGCGGCGGGCCATCGAGGCCCAGAAGAAGAAGATGGAGGCGCTGTCTGCCAGGCAGCGTCTGAAGCTCGGCAAGGCGGCCTTTCTGCACGTGGTGAAGAAGGGCAAGGCCGACGGTGTCCCTCAGCCGCTCAGACCTGAGCACTCGGCGAAGGAGTATTCTCAGCACAACGGGGAGGCCTTTGGTGACGGTGTGTCTAAAGTGGAAGAGCTCCTTGCCGGAGAGGAGGAGCGAGACCTCCTGCCCGAGTCTCGGGACGTGGAGGAGGGGAGCCGAGCCTTCGTTCAGCAGCACTCGCTCAAGGACCCTTCAGTGCTGCACGACCTGGAGAGGACAAAGGTGCTGTCCGCCGCCCTGTTGGAGGACGGCGTGGGCGGCGGGGTGGACGTGAGCGAGTGCGACCTCTCCATCGAGAAGCTCAACGAGACCATCAGCACCCTGCAGCAGGCCATCCTGAAGATCTCACAGCAGCAAGAGCAGCTCCTCACCAAGCCCCGCTCCGTGCCAGTGCCAGCCTCTAAGAACGGCTCCCAGGACCAGAAGGTCAAGCCAGTGGCGCATCTTGTTGAGCCACTCTCTCCGACCGGGCTGACTGGTCACCGCAAAACCCCTCGTCTTGGCCAGGGACGGAGCTCCCGCTCAGGACGGCCAGCTGAGCTAAAGGTCCCAAAGGACAGGCAGCAGGGCCCCTCTCGGAGCAAAACCCCGACCCCGAGCATAGAGACCTTCCCACACCTGAGGTCAGTCCCCCCGAACAGCCACGTGAGGACACCCACTGACCCGGGCCTGGACAATGGCACGGAGCCCGGGAGTGACTCTCGTGACAAGGTGATCTTCGACAGTTACAGGCTCCACGATGAAAGCAACCAGCGAATGTTCGTTCTGTCGTCCTCCAAGGACGCCAACATCCTGTCGGAACAGATGGGCATCACAGAGGCTCTAGAGAAGAGCGGGAGAGAGGCGGGCCTGAGCTCTTCCAACGTCGCGGGGAAGGAGAGCGTTCCTGTGGAGGAGCCCTTGAGGAGCAAGACCAGCCTCATCGAGGTGGACCTCTCTGACCTGAAGGCGCCCAGCGAGGACGGGGACATGGACACCCATGACAGCTCGGGGGGCCTGGTCAGCGACTGTGACCAGAAGCTTGGGGTCGGGTTCTTCTTCAAGGTACTGCCCCGATGGCCTGGGCTCCCACGCTGGTCCCTGTCCCTAGCTGTGGGAGGTCGGGTTCATCTTCAGGGAACCGCCCCGATGTCCTGGTCTCCCACGCTGGTCCCTGTCCCTAGCTGTGGGAGGTCGGGTTCATCTTCAGGGAACCGCCCCGATGTCCTGGTCTCCCACGCTGGTCCCTGTCCCTAGCTGTGGGAGGTCGGGTTCATCTTCAGGGAACCGCCCCGATGTCCTGGGCTCCCTTGCTGGTCCTTGTCCCTAGTTGTGGGGGGTTGGGTTCTCCTTCAAGGTTCCACCCCGATGGCCTGGGCTCTCATGCTTGGTCCCTGTCCCTAGCTGTGGGAGGTTGGGTTCTTTCTCAAGGTACTGCCCCGATGACCTGGGCTCCCATGCTGGTCCCTGTCCCTAATTGTGGGGCGTTGGGTTCTTCAAGGTTCCACCCCGATGGCCTGGGCTCCCACGCTGGTCCCTGTCCTAGCTGTGAGGGCTTACCGAGGACATGCATTCAGAGCAGGGCTTGGCAGAGCAGGGCCAGAGAGTAGGCGTGTTTACCTCTGTGGGCCACGCGGCCTCTGCCACAGCCATGCAGCTCAGCCGGACACTGCTGTGGCCAGACAGAATGGGCATGGCTGTGTGCCAGTAGGTCTTTATTTGTGGGTGCTGAATTCCATGTAGTTTTATGTGTCATGAGATTTGTTTTTTGGATAGTTTTCTAACCATTTAAAACTGGAAAAACCATTCTCAGCTCACAGGCTGTACAAAACCAGATGGGGGCGGGATTGGCCCGTGGGCCATAGTCTCCGACCTGGCCTATGATAGAGGGTGGAACTTTAGAGACATTTTGTTCACCTCTATCTGGGCTTTGCTTGTAACTTTTTCTTAGACAAGAAGAGAGAAGTGAATTGGGACTTCTTTGTTTGAATAGTGTCTACTTTTCTTCCCGGCAGTATGAAGTGGACGGCATAATACAGAAGTGTTAGGTTTATCTTAGAAGAGATACGTGCTTTATTTGCAGTTCACACATTTAAACAGTAACCCACTCGATAGTCAGCGTGGGCCATTAGCTCATATTGCAGAGATCTGTGGGTAGTTTTTAAGGCAAACGAATTGGGTATGAGGCATTTGGAAAGGCGACAGACTCTGGCTGCATTTTGAATGGCACAGTTTCTCTCCTGTTTGTTCAATAGAAGAGCAGACGACTTTGGGCATGCATCAACGTTTTCTGAGGGTGTGCTGAAGTGTGCAGAGTGGGTGTTGAAGTCTGCAGAGTGGGGCTGGTCTTTGCTGGGCCGTGAAGGGCTGTCCTGTGACGTTGCGCTCTGCGTTCTGCAGGATGAGCAGAAGGCAGAAGATGAGCTAGCCAAGAAGCGGGCAGCTTTCCTTCTGAAGCAGCAGCGCAAGGCTGAGGAGGCCCGTGTGCGGAAGCAGCAGCTCGAGGCTGAGGTGGAGCTCAAGAGAGATGAAGCCCGGTAAGCGCCTGCCCCACTGGCACCGCCTCTGCACCAGCCTGGGCCCCTCCGCTGGGCGGTGGGGGAGGATGAGGGCGTGACCGGGGTGAGGGCAGGTCGGCGCCGGGGAGTGGGCCCAAAGCAGGCACCTCAGCCAGCCAGCCAGCGGTGTCTCGGCCAGGTCCCCGTCCCTCCGGTCTGCTGTCCCCCTCGTGTACTCTCCACCACGCGGCACTGTTGCGTGTCCAGCGTGTGCCAAGCCTGGTGCTCGCAGCGCCTATCCTTTGTCCTTCGTTTCCACAGCCACCAGTGAGGCGTGTGCATGCGTCGCCCATTCACTGCCGAGCCTGTGATGGGCGCGGGAGGCGGTGCCGTGGTGGACAGCACGGACAGCTCGGCCCACGCCCGGCCTCCAAGTGCCGCGCCTGGCTGTAGGAGACCTCCACCCCGTCCCAGCGACGCGCCCCTGTACCCAGTGGTCACTCTCTGGCACCGTGAGGCGGCGCCTCATGTGGAGGAGACGGCCTGACTGACCACACCCCTTTGTCCAGCGTTACCTGGAGCGTGTCTTTTTTTCAGGCGTAAAGCGGAAGAGGATCGGATACGAAAAGAGGAGGAGAAGGCCCGGCGTGAGCTCATTAAGCAGGAGTACTTGCGCAGGAAGCAGCAGCAGATTTTAGAAGAGCAGGGCCTTGGGAAACTAAAGTCAAAGCCGAAAAAGCCTCGGCCCAAGTCAGTCCACCGGGAGGAGTCGTGCAGCGACTCGGGCACCAAGTGCTCCTCGACGCGTAAGCCGCCCTCGCACCGTAGCCTGTGTGCCGGGTGTGCACGGCTGTGCCGTGCTCAAGTTTCTCAGGGATGCTGGGAGGAACGAGGGCGGGGTGCTGCCCCATTCAACAGATAAGAAAGTAGAGACCAGGCGCTCCGGCGCTCCATGGCGAGGTGCACCCGTCGCCAGGTGGGTCCCAGGCCGGATTCAGTGCAGCCCCACGGGCGGAGGTGCAGCTGCAGCACAGTGGGTGCTGGTGAGGGCTGTCTGGCCCTGCTTCCCCCTGCTGCAGGTGGGGCCATGGCGCTCTGTGTGGACATGTCTGGGGCAGGTGCGCACGTTGGGAAAACTGCTCATGGTCCCCATCTGTTCCTTGTTTCGGCAGCTGACAATTTGAGCCGTGCGCAGTCTGGATCCAGCCTGTCCTTGGCGTCTGCAGCGACCACAGAGCCGGAGAGCGTCCACTCAGGGGGCACGCCTTCCCAGCGGTGAGCGGCTAGGGAACACCCCGGGGTCTGGGACAGGTTCTCTGCAGGAGGTGGCAGTGTAGCTTCCCCTTTTGCTGCGATTTCACTGTCGCAGGAGGATTGCGGCCTTTTACCAGGCACTCCCGGACGCCCTCACCAGCCCCCGCACTCTCTCACTCTCTCCCCTGCCCCCACGAGCACACACTGGTTTGAATCACGTAGGAGCCCTGTGTCCTTAGACGTGTTTGCGTGTGTCCCTACGAGCAGGCCTTGGTCCTGCGGCCCCACGTGGCTCTCACGCTCTGTCTGGTCTTCGTCGGTTGCCCCGTCGTGTCAGCTGTAAGTGGCTTCTCCGGTCACGGGTCCCGTTCAGGATCACGCTGCATTTGGTGGTCACGTAGCTTTAGTCGCCTTTAATCTGGAACGTTCTGTAGCCCTTCTCCGTCTTTTCTCGACCTTGACGTGTGTGGGGTGTTGGCCCCTCAGTCTGGGCTCCGTGGTTCGCCTCAGGCTCTGTGTATCTGCCTGGTGGTCCCGGGAGTGTGTGCTAGCAGTGTTGCCCGATCCAGCACGTGCCTGGACCCCTGGTTCAGGTGGCACTGCCACGCCTTCTCACCGTGGTTAGTGTTCCCCTCGTAGTGAGAGGTGACTTGTGAGGAGGTGTGTGGGGTCTGTGTGAATATCACTGAACTCGGGTTCCTGGCTTTACCCCACAGGTGGCCAGTCTGCCCCAGCCCTCCACGTGCTGGCCGGTGCTCTGGGCCGGCGCAGAGCATGCCTCTCCCCACGTGTCTGCTCCTTGTATGTGCACAAGCATGTGTGAGCATGGCTCGCTCTGTTGGCCATGATTGCGTTTCCTTGCCTTTTCACGTGTCTTCTGGGCTTTGTGGAGGATGCCTTCTAGAGCCTGGGTTCTCTTACCTTCCTCTGAAGAGCTGATTTTGTTCCCTTAATGAAGCTGCACTCTGTCTCCCTGCTGTGAGCAGCAGCGGGGGGCTCTGTCTGCCCGCCCCCGTCACCTGTGTGGCTCAGGGCCTGCCAGGGAGCTGAGGATCTTTGACCCACGGGGCCCTCCTTTCTGTGGGGGGTCACCCCTTGTTCGGCAGCAGTACAGACAGGCCCGAAGTCCATCTTCGACTGCTTGAGCCAGTAGACTGCGGCTCCTTCCACACTGAGGGCCGGGGGGGTTTGAGCTTTGCCATTGGCCCAGAGTCCATCACTGTCTCCGGGGAGGGCAGGGCTCATGGGCCCCTCCGCTGTCACCACAGGCCTGGGCCCATCAGCGCTTACGCCTGTACTTCCGTGTGACTGAAGAAACAGCATTGCAGCCCACAAGACAGCTGCTGGCTGTCGGTAAGGGAAGTGTGGGCTGCTGCTTGGCCCTCCTCATCCCCGTCCCTGCTTTGTCACAGAGTGGAGTCCCTGGAAGCCCTGCCCACACTGAGCCGGAACCCGAGCAGGAGCACAGACCGGGACTGGGAGACGGCATCTGCGGCATCCTCCCTGGCCTCGGTGGCTGAGTACACAGGTACGGCCCTCGGCCTGTGCAGAGTGACTGTGGGCCTGTCCCTCGATCTTTAAAATAGCCATTCTCAGTTTAGACCTGAAAGGTAATTTTTAATAAATATTTTAGTCTGTGCAACTCAAAGAATAAAATCAGCATCACTAAATTGTACACATAGAACCGTTGAATTGGTACATTTTGCTGTGTATATTCTCAACAGCAACAACAAAAAATTAGTCTGTTCTTACAAACAGATTTAACGTTCATACAACGACAACAGGGTGTTTTAGTTCGTGACGGGGAGAACTGTTTTTAACTCTGTGGTGGTAGAAACAGATGTGCTGTTTAGCTACAATGAATGCTTTCTTTAATATGGTAGACTATCAGACAGTTCTGAACTCCCCCAGACAGCCCAGCTCCTCCTGCCCTGGCTTCGTCCCTCCCTGTTGTTCCTGCAGCTGAGGGGCAGGAGGGGCATCCTCACCTGGGCACAGGGGGTGGGGGGCACGGGGTGAGGGCAGGAGGGGCGTCCTCACCTGGCAAAGGGGGTAGGGGGCAGGAGGGGCATCCTTACCTGGGTACAGGTGTGCAGTGTTGGGCATAAGGGGTGGGAGTTGGCAGCAGTATATCCAGGGCACTTCCAAGCCTTAGGCTTTTAAAGTTTATCATTTCTTGGGTTCGCCGTTTTTTACGTTAAAGAAACTGAAATTAGAGAGGGGATAAATTGCTGATCACTTTGGCCCCTTAAGTTTAAGATTTATCACTCAGAATTCCTTCTGATCAATTTGAAGTAGCTGTTACTGTAATACTTCTCTGCTTTCCATTTTTAAATCATCACAAATATCCCGACTTCAGCCTCCTGCTGCCGGGTCTCGGGACCTACCGGCTCTCTGTGTGTGCCTGTCTGAGAATGCCCACTCTGTTCCCTCGGTCTGCTCTTCGCAGGTCCCAAGCTCTTCAAGGAGCCCAGCAGCAAGTCAAACAAGCCGATAATCCACAATGCGATATCGCATTGCTGCCTGGCGGGGAAAGTGAACGAGCCGCACAAGAACTCAATATTAGAGGCAAGTGTCACTTCTTCACCAAGTATTATGTAGAATGAAAGATGTCTGTAAATTAAGGGTTCTTTTACAGGACAGCGTCCCCGGTTGTGTGCACGTGAGGTTTCTCTTTATGTGATTGAAGTCCTCTGCCACCAGGTAGGGCTGGGCCTTCTTCTCAGCAAGAATAAGGGGCTGCACCATGCCGCTAGGTCATGGGCCACAGAGTTGCTAGGGGCTGGAGGAGTCGGACGGCTTCGAGGAAGAGCAGACGTTTGACAAAACGGTAGGACTGAGACAGAGACTTGAGGGCAGCCCTTCTGCTGGAGACGCAGAGCGAGGGGTCCAGAGGTGGGACCTTCCGGGCACGGTGAGCTGACTGGTGTGTCCAGGGTGGAGGACTGAGTGGGGAGCTGGGGAAAGTAAAGGTGGTTAGGGGCCAGGGGCACAGATCCCTCGGGATGGGGTAGGGAGCAGGAAACTTGGGTTAAATTGAAAAACCAAGTGGAGAAAAATGGTATTGATCTGGTAGCTGATTCACTTGGTGGCTGAAGACAGGGAGCACGGAGTAAACAAACTCAGGTGAAACAATCCACCCATAACCCACTGCAACTGCAGTTTCCACTTTTCTTATTTATTGGCGTCTGATGTCTGCTCATACTTAAACACAGATACCTAATTGAAATTAGTATTGTATATACAGTTTTAGATTGTTTTTTCACCTACTGTTTTAAAATACTTATTAGTTTATTTAAAATAATAAACCCACTTATGTTAACCACGGCAGCGTGTATTTATGACAGATATGTTTTCTGAGAAGAAGGACATTGTTTTCTGTTTTTACAAAGCTCTCTCATTCCTGGTTTTATAGAAGACATCTAGATACTTATCTCGTCTGCATTCAGTCTCTGGCAATATCACACGTCGTGTAGCTTCTGGAAAACTCCACTGCCCACTCATGAGGGAAGAGAGTCAGTCGTCACATCCGATTTTAGCATGACTGGGGAAAGACCCTGTGAAAGGGTCTCACGAGCCCTAGGACCACATTTTGAGAATATTTTGAAGGATGAAGACCTATTTTTAAAAATTATCAAAACATTTTAGCAACGAATTATCTAATATCAAAAGCATATAAAGCAAAAGACAAAATAAATAAATGGGATCTCATAGAAATTAAAAACTTTTTATCTTTGGCTATGTATATTTTCACCACAAAAAAAGAAAAAAATACATGCTGAAAAATAATAAAAAACTTTTGTTCATCAAAAGCTTTACTAAAAAAGTGAAAAGACAAGCTACCGACTGGGAGAATATTTTCAGAAACCATATATTCAATAAAAATCTAATAACCAAAATATATATAAAACTTTGACAACAACAAAAAGACAACCCAGTCATAAAACGGGCAAAGGATTTGAATAGACGTTTCACCAGACAGGACATTCAAAAGGTCACCAAATACATGGAAAGCTGCTCAACATCATTAGCCATCAGAGAGATGCAAATCAAAACCACAGTGAGATACTATTTGACTCCCACTAGGATGGCTAAGATTAAAAAAAAAAGAGAAAATAACAAATGTTGGTGAGGATGTGGGGAAACTGAAACCTTTATCCATTGCTGGTGGGAATGCAAAATAGTACAACCGTTGTAGAAGACAGTGTGGTGGTTCCTCAGAAAACTACAAATGGAACTACCGTATGATCCAGCAATTCCACTCCTAGGTATATACCCAAAAGACTTAAAAACAGAGTCAAAAAGAAACTTTTACACCATTGTTCCATTGCAGCACTGTTCACAATAGCCAAAAGGTGGAAACAGCCTAAATGTCCATCAGCAAATAGGGATAAACAAAATGTGGTACATGCATACAGTGGGATACTACTCAGCCAGTAGGAGAAACAAAGTCATAATACCTGCTACAGTGTGATGGAGCTTGAAGACATTGTGCTGAGTGCAGTAAGTCAGTCACAGAAGGATAAATATCGTATGACCTCACTTGTATGAAAAGGCAAGAACAGGCAGGTGTAAAGAGACCAAAGCACATTAGTGGTTACCAGGGAAAGGGGGAAAGGGGTGTAACGGTGATGGAAAGATCATGTTGATTAAGGGTGAGATTGCACAGCCGATGAATGTAAGTTGTACACCTGTAAAAAGCTGAACTGGCAAAAGTGTGATAGATATATTTACAATAACAAAAGAGTAGCTGCTGAGCTACTTATATAACCAAAAACCTCGTGGGATTTGGTTCCTTGGTTTGGAGGTTTAAGGTCATGGTTTCACGGGACATCCGAGTTAAATGGCCTAATAACGTGCTTAGTGCTTCTGTTCTTCCTCCTAGTTCGTTGCGTAGTGCCTGGGATCTTAAAAGCTTGCAAATGGCCACCCAAGGCATGACGATTGGTCTCTATTTGCCTGGAGTAACAGAGGAAGAAGGAGAGTCAGGAAAAAGAGGATATGGAATGGGTGGCTAATTGCCTCATAAATAACTGCTCCTTTGTCATGAGACCAGAAGAACTGGGTGGTGCCTGGCTGCCATTACTGAACGTTTTGATCAAAGATTCTATAGGAGAATCTTGATCAAAAGGGGGAAAATGCCGAACAGAATTTAAAATTCTCACGGACTCCAGACTTCTGGAGCCATAGAGGCTGGATGAACCCCTGAAACTATGCCTTGAGGTAATCTTTGGTTTAAAACTTAAGCCAAAAATATCCCCTGAAGTCTGTCTATATGGGATTAAAGTGACAACAGCAACTCAAAAGATTAGATGGGAGAGCTTAGGGGGCAGCGAGTTCATGTTAATGGTGGAGGTATAACTTGGAAAAAGAGTAAGAATGGTTGTACACCGGGAAGAATGTAATCAGTGTCACTGAATTGTACATGTAGAAATTGTTGAATTGGTGTATATTCTGATATGTATAGTCTCAACAACAAAATAAATTTAAAAAAATTATCAAAACATTTTGAGACATGTTTAAAAGTTCAGAATAACAGTACAGCAAACATTGTAACACGTCAGCAGTTTGTCCTCTGCTTCAGTCCTTCAGTAGCAGTGTTATTGAGGTGTAATTCACATCCCCTACAACTCAGGTATTTTAAGTGTATATACATCCGTGGTCTTCAGAAGACAGATTCCCAGGGGTGCACAGCCATCACCACTGTCTGGTTCTGAAATATTCTCAGCACTCCAGAAAGAAACCCCACACCCGTTGCTCGCCATCTCCCCACTGCCAGCAGCAGCCGTTCACTATCTACTTTCTGCCTCTGTGGTTTGCCTGTTCTGGACATTTGAGATAGACGGCATCACGGGGTGTCAGTCCTCTTGTGCTGGCTTCTCTCACACACTGTCGTGTTTCCAGGTCCGTCCATGTCGTAGCGTGTGTCAGTGCTTCCTTCCTGTTTACGGCTGAATGATGCTCCAGTGCGTGGACAGACCACGTTCTGTTTATCCGCTCCTCTGGTGATGGACGCTTGCGTTGTTACCGCGTTTTGGCTACTGGGAATAATGCTGCCGTGTTTATTCGTAGACAAGGTTACGTGTGGACGTGTGTTTTCATTTCTCTCGAGTATATACCTAGGAGTGGAATTGCTGGCTCAGTGGTGACTGTTTAACAGTTTGACTTGGTTAACCTTTTCCAAGTGGCTGCACCATTTTATATTCCTACTAGCAGTGTACGAGGGTTCAGTTTCTCCCCGTCCTTGTCAGCACTTCTTCTTATCTTTTATTGTGCATTATTTTTTTTTTATTGTGCATTAGGTAAAAGTTTACAGAGCAAGTTAGTTTTCCATTCAGTAGTTGTACACATTATCTTTTTGGATTCTGGTCACTGGGTGGGTACTGGGAGTGGCATGTCATTGTGGTTTAGAGCTGCATTTCCTCATGACTGGCAATGTGAAGCACCTTTGCATGATTCTCACACGGCCTTGCATGCCTGGCCTTCGTAAGCACAGTCTCAGTGGCACAGAGTGGGACACCAAATGGATAAACTGTACTTTTTTACAAAAGGAAGACTGTAATTGGTGTGTCCGTTTTCCTTCTGCGTGGACAGCCCCCTTGCCGTTGACCCTTCTGATAGCGCCTGTGGAGGTGCTGTGGGCTGTTGGGACCGCTGGCGTGAATCTTCGGAAGTTTTATTCTTTTCTTTTCCCTTGCTCCCTCCATACAGGAGTTAGAAAAGTGTGACGCCAACCACTACATCATTCTGTTCCGTGACGCAGGCTGCCAGTTCCGGGCGCTGTACTGCTACTACCCTGACACCGAAGAGATCTACAAGTTAACGGGCACGGGGCCCAAGAGTGTCACCAAGAAAATGATTGACAAGCTTTACAAGTACAGCTCAGACCGAAAACAGTTTAACCTGATTCCAGCCAAAACCATGTCTGTCAGCGTGGACGCCCTCACAATCCACAACCACTTGTGGCAGCCCAAGCGGCCTGCAGTGCCAAAGAAGATGCAGACTCGCAAATGACACCGGCTGGCCGGCGTCCAGAGGGTGGTGCCGACAGCATCGATATTTATTATGTTCATCCCCTTGGGTACGAAGTGTGCAAGGTCATAAACCCTTTTCATAGAGGCATCTAGACCATGACGGGACGCCCGTCTCTCAGCTCCTCGCACACACGACGGACGTGGGTGCAGTGAGACGGAAGGGTGCACGCCAGTGTCGACGCGGGCTCTGCCGGCACCGCCCTGCCGCCACCGGCTCCCACAGGACGGCGTGCGAGAGGCAGGAGATGGAGGTGTGGACAGTCTCCTACTTGAAGTTCTTCTCCAGTATCGATTAAAGATGGTGTGATTCGCTTTTCCTGCCTCACCTCACCCTTTTGCACGTCGCCTGACACCCGTCATGTTGGCAGGCCACCGTCTAGTGAGGTCCCAGTGCTGAGAACTGATCTTGGGTCAGGGTGTTTGAACGTCTCTAGAAAAGGGATTCATATGGGGGAAACCTTTTCATTTGAGAAATTGTATGATATTTATTGATTGTGTCTACTGCCAACATTTATATCCAATTCTAAGATTTCTGAAAAGATCCTTGTTTTTTGCTGCTCAGAAAAAGTTTACTGAAAAGACCAGTTCACTAAAGCACTGAAATCTGTGGTCTGTCTTCTGCTAAATAACGTTTACAAATGTAGAGGCGATGGTTTCTGACCCGCAATCATGAGCGAAAAGGTACTAGGAGCTGGTGCTTGCCTGACGGAAGCAGGCAAGGCGGACAAACGAGCCGTCACGGGTGACACTGTGGACAGTGCTGTAATGGTTTGTTAACTTTAGGACAGACAGATTTGGATAGAGTGTTTCTCACTCGGAGCATGTTCCGTAACAGATGATGCACTTCCGATGGCGGCTCTTTTAGTGTTTTTATTATGTCATGACTGTAACCAGCCTCCTCTGTCCTGTCCTGGTTCCTGATTCTGGAAGGACAGAAGGATACTTGTGTTTGGTCGCGTATTTAAAAACAATTAAAGTGGTTCTTTGCAGTTATTTCAGAGCTCCGAGTAAGTGGAATGACTTTGGATTCTTTTGTGTTGGGCGTTCGGTTGCTGATGCCTTTCCACAGCAGACGCCGTCTGGAGCCGACCGCACTCCAACCCGTCCTGGGCGTGTTGCTCCTGTGCCCGTGTCAGGGCGCCTGGGGCTCCGCAGTGCCTCTGTGGGACTCGGCCAGCTGCTCTGCTGTCCAACTGGCAGAAGATTCTGAAGTCACTTCTGTTAGCTTTGCACATATTTTCTTGGAAGTGTTACTTGAATCTGTCTGAAACTGCAGAAGAAACTACAGATCAATAGAGAGAAAAGTTAGACCAGTGTAACTGTTAGATAATGTTAGCCAGACACAGGTAAGTGAACTCTGTGCCCAGGAGGAGAAGAAGTGGCACAAAACGCTAGACCCGCCGTAGGTCTCACCGTGCAGGTCTCACCTTGTAGGTCTCACCTTGCAGGTCTCACCTTGCAGGTCTTGCTGCAGTTCCTCAGTCCTTGGAGAAGAACACGCGTAGTTTGTGGCCGTTTTGTGTATGTCGTGTTAGCCCGTTAGCCGCCTGTGTTCTGTCCGTAGGTGGTGGAAGGCGCGCTCACGTGCTGAGTATTCAAGAGTCATGAGTGGGCCCTGCTCCCGTGCTTTTCACGAGTGTGCTTGATTTCTCACTGTACGTTTGATATTATGTTCCCATATTTATTTTAAGGAAGCACTAAAATGTAATAAAGTAATTAACTGATTTGCTTTATACTAATCCCGCAGTGTGAGGCTGTGACCACTCATTCTGTTGCTCAAGCGTCACCCGCCTCCTGGCTTTCAAGGTGTTCTGTGTCCGTCTTTACTTAACCGGCATCCATTTTCCTGGAGAATCTCATCGTTCTGCCGTCTGAGCAGGGAGGCTTTCTAGCTGCTTCCTGTGTGAGCTCAAAATGGAGGACAACCTGTCTGTTACAGCGTAGGCCTAGTGGCCTGAGTGGGATGCTCCTGCACAGAATTGGAAAGTTACATTCCTACAGAACTTCTGAATAAATTCAAGATTTTAAAAATGTAAATCAGCCCATATTTGGAGCATCTGAAAATCATTTTTTAGCGTTCAGCATTTTTTGCTCCTCACTGTGTCGGGAAGCATCAACATAACCTCCGATACTTGCGGTGTCTTCACGCCTGCAGGTTGGCGCCGACCTGAAGGGCCGATGGAAACTGTCCGCGGGTTCTGTGCGGATCGGCATGTAAACCTGTTTTACCTGTTGTGACAAAGCTCGAGCACACAGGAGTCGTTTTTGTGGTGGAGATTTTTGTCCTTTCTGGCTTGGGTGGCAGTGAAGCCATTATTGCCTCAGTTTATAAAGTTGAGTTGTAGCTGTTTATACATTTCACTTTTTCCAAAGCACCCACAGTATTTGCTGCGTGGAGGTGTCTCGTGATGGAAAGATGTGCATGCCTATCGCCTCTCAGAATTGCGACAGTGTTTGTGACAAGCTGCTTTGGTTTGCCCGCACGGATTTAACCCTGTGAGCAGGAAAGTGTCGGCCGAATGTCTGAACGTGTAGTGCAAGTCCTTGGTGATGACAGAAGGCAGCCCCCAAAGGGCTGGCCTTAAGGTTTATGAAACTGAGTCCCGTTGTTCTAGAAATGCACAGGCAGGTACACAGGACGCTCCCACTGGTGGGGTGTGTGGACAGCTGCGCACCTGAGCGTGCACGTGTGCTCCAGGGGTGAGCTGCCCTGCAGTGTGTCCTGGGGACTCCCCTTTCTGAGCACGTCACCGCAGGGCAGACTCGCACACATTGCTCCCTGCCCAGGCGACGCTTCACGCAGCCAGCATTGCAGAGCGGGACGGCTCTGAAGTTACTTCCAGGCTATGTTCGTATTCCTTGAAACTGTAGTTGTTATTTAGGAGGGGAAAATAGGTACTGGAAATAAAATTTTCTGCTAAAATATAATCAGCTTGGATGACCTTTTTCAGCTGATGCTGATTTATTTGAAAAGCTGGAGTGTTTCTCTCTGAAGCGCTTTCCCGTCCCTGTCCGTTCAGAGCCGTCTGTGTTGGCAGGTTTTGCCTGTGGGAGTTGGTTCCTGCCTCATGGTCACGGCCGGCCATCAGCCCAGTGTCAGCGGCAGGACTGCGTCTCTGATTCCTGGGCCGCACCTTGTCTTGGAGTCACTGTTTGGCGGGTGCCTTGCTGTGGTCTGGGGTCTCCGCTGGCCTCTGGGGTCCGCTGTGCTTTCTGGCGTTGTCTTCTCGATGCTGCCACGAGGGTCCTGGTGTGGCCGGCACAGCCGTACTAGATACTCCCATCAACACAGTCGCCACGTGCCGTAGTCTGTCGCGTTCAGGGCTGAGCGTGGCCTGATAAGGAATCCCTCGCTGTCTCCCTCTTGTCCTGTGGCAGTGAGCACACTCACCCACCCGCAGAGCTCTGCAAACACCTTGCCTTGGCTCTCATGGAAAGAGCAGCTTCAGTTTTCAGAATTATCCCCTTAATAGGAAGGGAAGTACTTTGCTAAAACCACTGTAATGGGACTGAAAGACAGAGCCGAGATACCTAGTGAAATATTAACAGCCTGAGCCCCACAGAGTCAGGCCCGGGCATGTGGCGGGAAGGATTTACAGCCCTGCAAACACTTCTTGTGGGAGAGGTTTGGGTCGCCGCTGCTGCAGAGGACAGCAACAGCGTTAACACCATCCTTCCCTTGGAAGTAAAATCTAGGCTGCTGTTACTCGGCAGCTCGGCTTGGAGTTCTTTCTTGGGGCTCTGCGCTCTCGAACTCGAAAGTCTACGACACGCCCTCAGCTCTGGAGGTCTGTGACCCAGGGACGCGATGTCCCTTCGGGAATCTGGGCAGCAGCCCACCTCTGAGGGAGCAAAGGGTCCCCAAGACGTCCCATGGCTGGTCTGTAGGCCCGTGCCATGCGGCGGTGGTGCTGCCACAGCTCTCAGGCTGAGAAAAGTCCACGTAATACCAAGTCTAAGCACTTAATCTTTGGAAAAGATCTCTCATGTCATTTCTCTTGTTCTAGAAGGAACCATACAAAAACTCTTTTCATTGCTTCATGCCATCGTGAATAGTATGTTAACATTTATAGTTTGAAATAATTTTTTATATGACTGGTTAAATTGACAAGAATCCTCTGCAGCTGGCATGCTTCCAGTCATTGAAATTACACGGCTCAGATGACTCTAGGAGATGCGTTAATCTTTGTGTACCCCGATGGAGTTCTTGTGATTAAATCTGTATCCATGTTCAGAAGGCATGTGGCTCCAGTGTGCCACAGTCCTTACCACTCCCTATTGTCTCTCCCGGTGAGGCCCAGGATGGGGTGCCGCTCATTCACGTGTGAATCACGATGGTTGCTAGAGTACAGAGTAGTCATGGGAAGCTGTAACTTTCTTAAACAATGGTTCTGCTTTTTCATTTATGTTGACTGCCTGTTACAAGCATTTGAGTTTGTCTTTCCTGTTCTCATTGCTTGCTTAGCGGCTCTTGAAAAGTGATAAAAATTTTGTTTCTGGTTGGAATATGGCTCTGAAAAGAAAGCTGATTGCTGGTGCCAGTAGTGGTAGTGGAGAAGGACACACACAGATGATGGTTCTAGGCGGGAATTGTACTGAAATGTGGAATGGAATGTTTAATTAAACTGTGAGGACTTCACTTTATGATTTGAAGTTGTACTTTATTGCATTACCAGGGAGAAATCAAATAGTAGTTTTTGCAAATTTGAGGGCTTTTCAAGTTCTCAGGGCATGTCCCTAAATTTGTCTACGTGTCTTAGGTTACAGGTCCTATTCTTTATATGTGGATTTTTATTTTATTATTGTTAAAAATAAGTTACTTTTTGGTTATTGTTGAAAATGTGCACAGCAAAACAGACACCAACCCCACGATTTCTCCGCGCACAGTTCAGGGACACTGATTCCATTTCTGCGAGTTGTGCAGCCATTCTCGGCCTCCTTTTCTGAGTTGTTCCTCCCCTGTTAACATGAACTCGCTGCCCCGTAAGCTTCTTATCTAACCTTCGAGTTGCTCTTGTCAGTTTGATCCCACGCAGATAGTTCTTTAAAAGAGCAAAATGCTCAAGGCAGACATTCTTTACTAATTGAGCTAAACTATTATTTGGTTTAAAGAAGTCTTCAGGGGATATTTTTGGTTTAACATCTAAGGTTTAAAGATTATCCCAGGGCAGTGGTTTCAGGGGTTCATCTAGCCTCTATGGCTACAGAGAGTCTGGATTCCATGAGAATTTGAAATTCAGTTCTGCGTTTTTCCTTGTGATCAGAATTCTGCTTCTTTGATCAAAACATTCAGTAATATACCTGGATTTTTATTTATGTATTTTTTTATTGTGCTTTAGGTGAAAGTTTACAGCTCAAGTTAATTTCTCATTCAAAAATTTATAGACATTGTTTTGTGACATTAGTTGCAATCCCCACAATGTGACAGCACACTCCCCCTTTCCACCTCGGGTTCCCTGTGTCCATTGAACCAGTTCCTGTCCTTTCCTGCCTTCTCATCCTGCCTTTGGACTGGAGCCGCCCATTTGGCTCGTGTATCTCATTAAACTAAGAAGCACATTCCTCACGTGTATTATGTTTTGTTTTATAGTCCAGTCTAATCTTTGTCTGAAGAGCAGACTTCAGAAATGGTTTCAGTTCTGGGTTAACAGTGCATTTCTCCAGTCTGCGTCAGACCATTAAGTCTGGTCTTTTTACGTGAATTAGAGTTCTGTTCTACATTTTTCTCCTGCTCTGTGTGGGACACTCAGTTGTGTCCCTGTCAGGGCGGTTATTGGTGGTAGCCGGGCACCATCTAGTTCTTCTGGTCTCAGGCTGGTGGAGTCTCTGGTCCATGTGGCCCCTTAGTCCTTTGGGCTAGTATTTTCCTTGTGTCTTTGGTTGTCTTCATTCTTCTTTGCTCCAGGTGGGATGGACCAATTGATGCATCTTAGATGGCCACTTGCGAGCTTTTAAGACCCCAGATGCCACTCACCAATGTGGGATGTAGAACATTTTCTTTATAAACTGTTATGCCAGTTGACCTAGCTATCCCCCAAAGCTATGGTCCCCAGGCCCCAGCCCCAGCTACTCTGTCCCTCTGTTTGGATGTGTCCAGAAAACTTCTTTGCTTTTGCTTTGGTCCAGCAGTGCTCACTTCCCCTGTATTGTGTGTTGTCCTTCCTTTCACCGAAGTTGATCCTTGTTGACTTATCTAGTTAGTGATTTCCCTTCCCCCTCCCTCCCCACCTTTGTAACCACCAAAAAATGCTTTTTTCTGTGTTTAAACCTTTTCTTGGATTTTTATAATAGTGGTCTCATATAATATTTGTCCTTTTGTGACTGACTTATTTCACTCAGCATAATGCCCTCCAGATTCATCTGTGTTGTGAGATGTTTCATGGATTCGTCGTTGTTCTTTATCATTGCATAGTGTTCCATTGTGTGTATGCACCATAGTTTGTTTATCCATTCATCTGTTGATGGGCATTTAGGTTGTTTCCA